TTGGGGTTAAAATGCATTTGTACACAAATCATTCCCTGACCCCATCAATTTCTCTTAGAATATAGGATGGATATATATATATATATATATATATATATATATATATATATATATATATATATATATATATATATATAGTGATAATGACTTTGGCTTATATCTGTGTACTCAGAACGTACACTCACCTCAGGTACACCTGAACACCAAAAATTAAATGTACAATTAATGACACACTATATATCAAGCTCATTAACATTATTGAGAAATAGACAATTAATATGTATTTTGTTAATATTAACGTTAGCTTAAAATAATTCAACTGCATTTAATTTTCAGCTCCATTTAATAAAACAGTTAAGACTCATTTCCTTATGAGTTTAGTTTAAATAACTAACTTACAGTTGAAAAATTTTACCATAATGATAGCTTAGTCGTAATGACTATGTGAAGACCAGAGCTTACCTTAACGGTAACGTTAAACGTTTAACTTTTCATGGTGACTTCGCCTTCATCTCAGTGTTGTGCTGAAATAGAGAATTCATTAATGCAGTTACAATAAGTTAAAGTTATGTTTTTCAGGTAACTTAACGTATGGTCAAAAACTCACTCAAGATAAACTCACTGTATCTAATACCTCGCAAACACTACAATGACCGCCTGGCGTCTGTTATTTCTTGTTTAAAATACCATTTGTTAACGGATAGCGTGACATAACATAACCTACAACTAGTCACTTTGTTAATTCTTTTAAATTACACACACAATACACAGAAATACTTATAAAACAATCCTTTAACGGACAGAATTTGACTTTAAAACACTTACCGAGGATGAATTCGCTGGATGAAAGACGACAGGTGAATTTCAAATTAGGAGAGCCGTTGCCTGCATGTCGAGTCGTGTCCGTTCGGTTCTATGAATCGGCTTCTTAGTGAACAGCAAAGAATCGAATCCGCCTAAAACCGATCCCTTTTTGTATATGATTCATTACTATTTCGTTATACTGCTTGGCCACACGCATTTATACACTAATTATACACTAATTGCATATTGCTGAATGTGCTTGTGAACACGTGTGATCAAATAATTCCCGAGCAAACGGTTCAATTCGGTTCAATACGATTCAGAGTCGCTCGAGTGCTGAACCGAACCAGTGCAAACGTGATATTGATTACAATATAGTAACATTGTTTTTTTTATTCACTTTACCAGCGAAATTATTACATATATCTGACCTTGACAATAAGAATAAAGTTCGTTTGAAGTGTTTTGAGAATTAATATTTTTATTTTTTTCTCCCAGAATTCATTTAACATCAACAAGCAAAGGGTAATGGCGGATGAGAAAGCCCAGCTAATATTATAAATATTGCGTTTAATATGTCACGAAATGAAATTTTAACAGTGTTTCATGCGAGAATGTAGTTCTTACAAACTCAAATCTGTGGTTTATTTATAGATATCATGTGTAAATGTTAAGCATGCTTTGCCGATAGCGGAGATTCTGACCTCCAGGGTGTCCATCATCACTCATGTATCCGGCGAAATGAAGTTATAATCGGCTAGACATGTGAGACTTGCCCCGGTCTTAGATGGCTCTATAATGAATGTGTTATGAAATTTAGTTTTAACCGTTTTTCATGCAGGAATGTAGTTGTTTTAAACTCAAGTCTGTGGTTTATTTATAGAGATGGAGCGTATTTTAAAATATTGTTTTGAAAATGCGGAGATGTGACCTCCATGGTGATGACGCGTGCCCAAACCTCATGAATCCGTCTAAAGCAGGCTGGTCATTCTGACATTTAAGCTGACTTTGGTTTCATGAATCAATTACTTTTGTTCCAGTTTACGATTTGGTTAAGCACAAAGTTATGTTGATTAAAAATGATTTAATATTTTCATGTTAACCTTATAAAATTAAGGTGCAGTACACCCAAAAATGGAAAACCAGGGGACAGTTTTATGCACTGAACAGTCTGAAGAAACTGGTTAGTTTATTTTTCTTCACAAAATACTTTGTCAAAAAATAAAATAAACATAATAATAATAATATAAAGTGTGTGTAGAGTTTTTCATGGTCATTTGCAGTACTGTATTTAGATGCACAGTAACTGATTTTTTTCCCAAAATTCATTGTAAAATCTGCAGTAGCATACTGTTAATCATGTTCACAGTATGGAAATGTTGAGAATACATTATCATGCTGTGAAAACAGCAATATATACAGTAACACACTGTGCACAGCTTATACAGTAAACAACTGTTGAGAAATGCAGTACAATACCGTGAAAACAACAGAAATCGTTTACAGTGTAGTCTAGATGTGTGTTTGCAAGCGCATCACTGATGTTTTTATTGGTCTCTCTCTTTTTGTATACTGTATTGTGCTGCTGGAAAGATTAATCAGTCAGTCAGTCAGTACATCCATCCATCCATCCATCCATCCATCCATCCATCCATCCATCCATCCATCCATCCATCCATCCATCCATCCATCCATCCATCCATCTATCTATCTATCTATCTATCTATCTATCTATCTATCTATCTATCTATCTATCTATCTATCTATCTATCTATCTATCTATCTATCTATCTATATATCTATCTATCTATCTATCTATCTATCTATCTATCTATCTATCTATCTATCTATCTATCAGTCTAACAAACAGGCTACAAATACTTTTATAATACAATTAAATACAACTTTGTTTTATTTTTTCTTAGTTTTGTATTAAGTTTTTTTTTTTTTTTTACTTTAAATGCTTTTAATAAATGCTTTTAATGCACGACTACACCAATGGGAAAAAATAATAGACCAGTTTCTGTGGATATTATGATTTATACTTTTTCTTCTGTAAACTACTGATGACTATATCTTTTAATATAATTTAAAGCAACTTGGTGTGTTTTTTCTGTTTTGTTTTTATTTTATTATTATTTTTTGTATTTACTTTTTAACTTTTCAAATGACCTTTTATAATAAAATTACTAAAAACAATTCAATTGTAATAAAAGTGGATGACGACACTACTGGAAAACAATAAGAGCCCAGTTTCTCTGGGTTTATTATTTATACTTTTTATTAAACAACTTTTTAATTAAACTACAGATCACATTACTCCAAATTTAAAATAAAAATACTGTTACTTACTTTTTTTGTATAAAATAACAAATAGGCTGATATTTTAGATATGCCTATTTTTTTATTTTTAAACGACACAAAACTTCAGAGAAGACCAGTTAGACCAGAATTAGACCAGTTCCAGACTGTCTTGTTCTAAAATAATGTTCTAAATGACAATGATTTTATTTGAAATTGGGAAGAAATGCTATCAGACTTTTCTCTAAACTGGAAAAAAAAATAGTAACACTTAAACACATACCTAAGCACAACTTATACAGAAAACTTTTTTCTTTTTGATCTGTTTCCCCCATATCTGTAAAAATATCTATCAGTCCAAGAGAGTTTTTCATTGTAATCTTTTTTTTTTTTACTTCAGCATTTTTTAAATAATTATTTTATTTAAATGATTCTTTATTAATTTTGTTATACTTTTTTTTTTTTTTACTTTATCTATAATATTGCTGCGCGATGAGGTGGTGCAGTGGGTAGCGCTGTCGCCTCACAGCAAAAAGGTCACTGGTTTGAGTCCCAGCTCGGTCAGTTGATGTTTTTGTGTGGAGTTTGCATGTTCTTCCCATGTTCGCGCGGTTTCCTCCGGGTTCTCTGGTTTCCCCCACAATCCATATAGGCTATAGGTGAACTGGGTAGGCTAAATTGTCTGTAGTGTTTGTGAATGAAAGTGTATGGAAAATGTCTTATTGCAATAATTGAAATTTTTTGACAGATATTGCGATTTCGATTTGATTTGCAATTTAACTTTTAGTCAAGTTTCAGCTCAGTAGTCTGTATTGTAGCTTTTTACTGCTACTGCTAGTGTTAATTTAAAAAAAAAAGTAACTTAAAATATTATAACTGATATTAGCAAACATCTCTGAAATTGTTCTTTGCTGTTGCTTATTGGAAGACTCTTTGTTTTTACCTCATCTAATTTCGTTTCTTATTGAATTTTTTTTCGTTATTAATGAAGGTCCACAAGGAACCAAGTTGCCTTTCATCGTTTGGGTTCATCACCTTCCAGTAGCTTAGTGGTTAGTGACTCACCTTTCACACCAGAGACCCGGGTTCTATCCCAGACTCTGACAGATGAAGAAGAAGACCAAGAGAAAGACCAGGATGGTGTCAAAGAACAAGACCAAGATAAAGATCAAAACAAAGACCAAGATAAAGACAAAGAAGACCATGAAGACCAAAATGGTGATGATCAAGAAGATATAGACAAAGACGATGACGACCAAAAACTAAGATGAAGATGAAATCTAAGACCAAGATGACTTCCAGGACAAACAAGAAGACAAAGAAGTCTACTAAGACCAAGTCCAAGATGGAATCAAAGAAGAAGTCCATGAGCAGACTACAACCAAGAAGATGACGACCAAGACCAAGAAGCTGACGAGGACCATTAGGACAAAGACAGGTCAGTTGGCATTTCTGTGTGGAGTTTGCATGTTCTCCCTGTATTCGCCAAAGTACAAACGGTTGCAACCTCTGATTAATAAAATGACTAAGCTGAAAAGAAAATGACTGAATTTTTTTTACTAAAAACTGTTCCTAATTTATGTCACCAAATATATTATTCCAAAGACCTATGCAAACAGGTAAAGAGATCTGATAACTATTAATACCAAAGCTGATATCTTTATTTGACATAAAACTGAGAAGAGTTTGGTCAACAAAAAGGTTTAGAATATAAAAATAACCTATAGGGTCAGATTTGACTAAATGTATAACACAATCAAGTATTACACCAAAACAATGGCATATTCTTTGGGGGAACTGGAAAAGGAAGCAGATTCACAACAAATATTTTTCGAACTTATTTACAGTTGCGCGTCTTACGTCATGACGCACACGCGCAGAGACGTGTACAGGCACGCTCCGTGATAACCGGAAGCATCAATAGAGGCGATTGAGAAACGGCGAGAGACATCATCACCTGTCGATTGCGTTCATGTATTTCTCCTGCGCTCCCATTAATCTCCATACACCACTTTCATAACACTCATACCCTGTCGTTTAGTCGCTGTCGAGTCGGTCAGGACGGTCAAAGCAAAATTGGGCAGTTTTAATTCTCTGCGCAAACGGGAGGGTTTTGAATGTGCGTTGAAGCCTCGCAGCAGAACAAATGTAAACAAGCAGCCGATCAGCTGTGCGGTTGAAGACGCGCAAAGACACGAAGTGATGACAGCGACCCGCACGGTTTGACAAACACCTTCTGCGTCCTCTAAAGCTAAATTGGACATTTATTTACATGCGGTAGAGCTTTTTTGGGGGGCGTTAGGGCAGTGTACGAGGACAACTCCCAACACATCGTCTTCCCCCTCCATTGCGGCTAGCAGCAAACAGAACGAACGAGTTGTCGCTGCTTATAAAGGTAATATATTTTGTTTGTTTTTAATTCAATTTGAATGCCGGATAACTTTACGCCTGACAGAAAAAGCAACAGGATTCGATAAATAACGGGCAAAAAAAGGCTAGCAGTCCCCCCTGGGGCCCAAGGAATAGATAAATATTAGCAACGTATTAATATTTACATGAAGCTGGAAGTTTAAAGGCACTCAGACGTCACATTTCCCGAGGAGCAGCTCAGGTAATTAATAGTGTATAGTTCTGTGTTCATTTATTCAAATGTTTTCAGTGGTTTTTAGTAGTAATGTAGTGCATTTTTCTGGTTCCAATAATGTTCTAATAGTTAATGTATTTCACTTGTAGAGCATTTATTAATAATCATTAGTTAATGCACTGTTCGTTAACACGAACTGATACAATACATCATAGTAAAATGTAACCATTTTTCATTTACCTTTATTTCTCAGCAGCAAAATATGAAAATGTTAATTACTTAAAGTGAATGTATAATAGTTTCTGGCTTTTATGGAATTTGCTTTATTCTATAAAAGCCTGATCACTTATTTCTTTCAGATTTCAAATACAAACATTGTCATTTTAGAGCATTGAAAAGTGCAATTGATCAGAATATCACATATTTAGTTTATGATAAAAAAAAATCAGGAGCATTCCACCAAATATTGATTATTATTTACAATGTTGGTGTTTAAAAATGAATAAACGACTGAACATTTGGTGCATTTTTGCTATTTTATGCAAAAACAATATAGAAATGTCATAAATAGTTTACAGAATAAAAAAGTTTTAGTCAAAACAATTAGTTAAAAAAATTCTCAATAATTTACAGAATAAAGCTAATTTTAGCCATATAAATTAGTTAATTAGTTAAATGCTTCCTTTAAATGGTTTGGTTTTATTATTGTTGTTCTTGTTACACTTATAATGATCACAAGTAAGGATCTTATAGTAAATGTAATTTAAGTACAGCATTTATTAATAGGTTAAGTTCAACATTTACTAATACATTATTAAAATCTAAATTTATTCTTGTTAGCATTAGTTTATGCACTAATATGTTAGTTGATGTGAAGAAATACAACAACATATAAGTGTTACAATTTTTTCATTCATTATGCAATTTATTCTCAACATCAAAATACGAACACGTTACTTTATTTTTAAGTGGATATATAATTTTTTTTTTCTGGTTTTATGTAATTCGTTTTAATCTATAAAAGCCTGGTAACATTTCAGATTTTAAATAAAAACACTCATTTTAGAGAACTGAAAAGTGCAATTGATCAGAATATCAGATATTTAATGTACTGTATGATGAAAAAAAAAATCAGGATCGTTCCACCAAAAATTGATTAGTAGTTACAATGTTTGGTGTTTAAAATGAATAAACATGACAGAAAATTTAGTGCATTTTGGCTATTTTATGCAAAAAAAAAAAAAAAAAAAAGAGTCATCAATAGTTTACAGAATAAATCACGTTTTAGTCATAAAATTTAATTTATAAATGTCAATTCATAGAAACTGAGAATTTTGTCACTTAATTTTCTCCACATCTAAATATGTACATACAAATATACATTTAAACACACTTAAAAACCTTAATACAATCTATGTCTGCAGTATACTTCTTTCTCAGCATGAAAATGGCCATAGAAGCTGGCATGGGCTTAAACACAACCAAGCAAACACACACACACTTAACTTTGAGCTTTTTAGTGGTAACAGCTCTGCTAATACCCATATGCATAAATTATAAGTGCTTCATGAAGAATATGTGAGCCATATGAATATGTAAGTCCCTGTCTTCAGAATGGTGTTGTACGAAAAAAAAAACCTACATGTTATGTTGAATCCATAGCACGGCTGAAGGATCAGGGCTGTTATGGCACACCAGCAGATGCCGAGCTCTCAGAAGGCTCTGATGCTGGAGCTGAAGTCCCTGCAGGAGGAGCCAGTGGAAGGTTTCCGCATCACTCTAGTGGAGGAGTCGGACCTCTACAACTGGGAAGTGGCTATCTTTGGTCCTCCAAACACACTTTATGAAGGCGGCTACTTCAAGGTAAACCTTGCGTCAAGTCAAATGATTTTTTAAGGTCTGCTTCCAGGATGTTGTGAATCAGATCAATAGTGTGTCTTTATGATTATATTGAACATTAAAGTGTATTGCACCCCATGTTTTGCGCAGTCATTATTTCCCCCCATCCCAGCCGGTATTGCGTTCCTTAAACTCTAGATCTCTATTTATAGTCTTGACGGATATTAATGACATCTCAATACGAGAGCTAAAAACAGAAGGACAGTGTGTTTGAGCAGTATTCCCCACAGTCACTTATTCTCCATGGTGTGTTATCAACCGCAATAATCAGTACTTCTACTGTGACACCAAAACAGAAGTCCTCAGCATTATTATATTTGTTTCACAATATACCACAGCTCACAGGCTTGGTGCTTTATGAAAATAAAAGTTTACCGTAGTAATTCAGTTTTAATGATTCAAACTAGTTTTAAAATCCAGCATTAAAGGACTGTTCACCCACATAACATTCTTTTCAGGAGAATATTAAAAAAGGTTTTTATAATATTAATAATAATTACTTACATTTATATAGCACTTTTCTGGACACTCGAATCTCTTTACACATTGGGGGAAATCTCCTTAGCTGCTTTTCCACTATGGTGCTGAATGGTTCTGTTTGTTGAAATCAGGGGTGTTCAAACTCGGTCCTAGGTCCAACCCCAATTAAAAACACCTGAACCAGCTAATCAAGCTTTTACTAGGTATACTAGAAACTTCCAGGGAGGTGTGTTGAAGGAAGTTGGAGCTAAACTTTGCAGGACACCAGCCTTTCTGGACTAAGTTTGGACACCCCTGGTTTAAATCTTCAATTCCGTGCCAATCCAGGGCATTCAACATGCAAAATGGTTTCATTTTCCACTGTGATGTTGATAGTGGACTTCTAATACAAATGTGCCAGTAGTTACCTTAGTAACACGAATGTAATGTAAACAGCGTTATGGACAATGCTTGGACATTTCTTTAGTTTATTATCTGGACATTACTTCATTGACTAACAAATATATAAATAAATGGTGCTCTTCTGTCTAGCCAGCTATGGAGAAACTGGCAGCCAGGCAACAGAGTGGCAACACCATGTGGATACTTGGTCTAGTAAGGTTCAACACAGTTGTCTAAGGCAGGGCTTGCTTCCCAAACTTCTCAGCCTGCGACCCCCAAAATAACAATGCCAGTGACTCATGACCCCCAATATCCTCTGAGGTGGTTATAAATATAGAAATCTTGCTTGCAGCGATGCAAACACACCAATGAGTCCAAGTCTATTCTTTGTTTAATTGTTTTTTAATGTATGTGAGTGCTGTAAATGTGCCAGAAGTAAACCTGGTGCCATAAAATCAATCTGCTGCATCTGACGCTGTTACTGTGTGTTTAATATAATGTTATCACCCCAAGGGTTGCAAACCAATAGGAAAATAAAAAAAATTAAAGGCTTTAACTATAAACTATTTTTATACTAACTAGGTTATGGCTTAAATATAGTAATTATAATGGTATAATAAAATTCATTTGATTTTTGGAAATCACCAAGCGACCATAAAGCTTCGGTTAACTTGAAAAAGCGACCACAAGTCCATCTTTAAGTCCACGTCCTACTTTAAAATTCTCATTAGTTGTTTTGAGAATACAAACACTGCGGCCACCTCAACATAAATTTCACCTCTGGTTTCATATGATTGGAGAATGGAAAAAGACTTGACTTAAGTAGCATTTTTGTCCACTCAGAGTTAACACGCATGGCAATGGCAAAAAGGCAAGGTGCATCAGTCAGTTAAAACACGAGGGGCACAGGATTCAACAGCAGCATCCAAACTGCTTGCTACGTTTGGTGTGATCAGGGCTTAACCATGCCTAGAATTTCCAGCCAAGATCTGTTTGTAATCGCGCTGTGCTAAACCAGACTCACGTGGAATCACAATCGTAACTGTACCTGAGTATTTTTAGAACGGTTCCTTTACCCAAAAATGTTAGTTTTGTAATTAATTACTCACCCACATGTCAATTTAATTTAGTGAGACCTCAATTAATTTTTCGAAATACCAATTAAGATATTTTAGATGAAATCCGAGAGCTCCCTCATCCTCCAAAGACAGCAAGAGTCTCAAGATGTTCAAACAAACCAAAAAATATTGCCAAATCATTCCACGTGATTTCAGCGGTTCAGCTGTAATCACACAAAGCTCCTAGAAGACTATTGTGCACCTAACAAAATGTAAAAACAACTTTGTTCAATTACGTTTTCATTAGGCTGAGTGTTCACTGCGGTCAGTTGATGTATTAGCAATAAGGTCAGCAACGTAACATGCCAGCATCACATTGCCTGTAGTAAACGTGCACTGTGACTTGATACAACTGAAGAGAGAACAGTCATTTCAACAGTTTTTATGATGCACAAAAATGTACTTGATGATTTACCTGATTACCGTACAGTTAAAAAAAAAAGGGTTTTTTTTGGACTATGAACATTTTGGGTCTTGCTGTCTATGGAGGATGAGAGAACTGAGATGTCAAATATTTTAATTAGGTTCTGACAATGAATGAAGGTCTCAGTAAATAGGAACGATATGAGAATGAATATGAGTAATGAATAAAGGCATCTTTACAAAGACAGCAAAGGTGACACAGAAGCCAAACCTGAATGTGGTTCAACATCAAGCTACTTAATTATTAATTTACATAGAGCAAACAGAGAGGCTTTGGGGCTGCCTTTAAATTCGCTGTGTAAAAATTAGTTTACAGATTTACATGTTTTGGGTGAACTAACCCTTTAATCAATGATGGCAAAACAAAATGAAGTCTGGCTACATTGAGATTTCCTGAGGCAAAACAAAACCTTTTCCATTGAAATTGCACCTTGGCATCAGAGAGTCATTCATAGATTAATTCACCATTGAGTTTTGATCCAAAAAGTAAAAAAACAAGGAACATTTTAAGTGTTCCCTTTAGAGGAACGGAAATTAAACACTTCATAAAGCACATCACCCCCCTCAAATGTTTTCAATATTCGCTTTCCATCTTCCATCATCATATAACTAAACAACTATGAACCAAAAGCATAGTCTTGGTCATATACTTATGGGATGCAACATGTTTCGAGTAAGATTAGGGTATCTTTGTGAACACCAGCTTGGGTTGCGCCCATTCAAACTCATAGCCATCAGGGCAGACATCAGCAAGATATTGTATCTTTGCCGGATAGCATGTATAATTTGTTATATTACAAATCATTTTCTTCTGGAGGAACTTTTTTCTAGCTTCAGAGATCTTGTTTTTCTCAGTGATTTCTAATGGTCACTAACGGAGGAAGTTGGATTAGAATAGGTTGTAGCTTTCTAAGACCGAATGCTTTGACTGAGGCTCAGATCCTCATTCAGGCTATCATGGTCGAGCAGATTCCGACTTGAAAGCAGGCCAGTTCATGTAGTCTGACACATAATCAGCACTCAACAGCAATGGCGAGAACTAATAGCAGGATTTTCACATGCTGAGAAGATTTGTCTAAGGTCGCCATTTACTCTACAAATGTTTCATTCCACTGCACTACTTTTCTATTGATTTTGCTATGTGAATGCACTAGGCTGAACTTTGGTGTGATTGCTTTTAAGCACCGTATATTTGAATAAGTGTGAATTACACTGGACTCTCTTAACCATTGCATTTGATATAACGCCAATTTACTTAAAAAAAAATCACTATTAAACTGAAGCATAATACATCAGCATTGTACTAAAGTGAGTTTGGCCCTTAATACAGCACTGCACTATCATCTCAAGCTCTATTTTGGCACCACATGGGAAACCTGATGAACTACAAGATGTTGAGATTCATAAATATTGTTTATATGAACCCTTTTAGTCCAATGTGCTTTCCATTTTGAGACCGATTTACAGCAGCTCATTTACTATCTATAAGCAAGCTAATAATAATTTTTCACTCTGTCTCTTTCCTCAGGCCCATATAAAGTTTCCTATCGACTACCCTTACTCTCCTCCGACCTTTCGGTTTCTCACCAAGATGTGGCATCCGAATATATATGAGGTGAATATGCTTGTTTGCCTAATGTACTTTTGAGAACTAAAGGATTACAATTAGACAAGGTATTGAAACAATGCTGCCATTGTTGCTCAATATACATCTCTCAAATCCAGAATGGCGATGTGTGTATTTCTATCCTCCATCCACCTGTTGATGACCCTCAGAGCGGAGAACTGCCCTCAGAGAGATGGAACCCCACACAGAATGTCAGGTAACAGGGTCAAAATACACATAATAACACTCAGTATGGAGCCAGATACATTTACAACACAATTAACATTTACAAAATTTGTACGTTTAAAACACGATAAACAAAAATAAAAATCAAATTTGTAAATTCAAAACACGATTCAAAAATACACAACTCCAATTCGTAATTCAAAACAATTAAAACTACCCAAATCCAATTTGTAAATTAAAAACACAATTTAAAAATACACAAATCCAGTTCGTAAATGCAAAATACAATACAAAAGTATGCAAATTCAATTTTAAAATTCAAAACACTATTCAAAGCTCCGCAAATCCTGTTTGTAAATTCAAAACACGATTCAAAAATACACAAATCCAATTGGTAAATTCAAAATACGATACAAAATTATGCAAATTCAATTCTAAAATTCAAAACACGATTTAAAAATACACATCCAGTTTGTAAATTCAAAATATGATACAAAATTATGCAAATTCAATTTGTAAATTCAAAACATAATTCAAAGGTACGGAAATCCAATTCGAAAATTCAAAACACGATTCAAAAATACAGAGCTGAAAAATGTCTGAGATATCTTATCAGTTGAATCACTTTCTAAATTTTATTTTTAGTTATTTTTTGGCCAGCTGATGAATAATAAAACAATTGGCAGCCAGTTGGAATACATCCTGCTTTATAGTTTGAGTATTTAAAGAAACAAAACTGCCGTGCACACTTATTATAAACTGAATGTTACTGTTTGTTGATTTAGATCCTTTTTATTATTTGCTGTTACAGTTATAGTCATGGATATTGTTATAAGTAATTGTAGAATTGTTTAATTGTACTTTTTAATTGTTTAATGAAATACTATCAAGCAGGGTAACTGTGTTCAACATTTTTATAAAAAATGAGAAATTCTTAAATATTATACAGTTGAAATAAAATTATTTGCCCTTGTAAGTTTTGATTTATTTTTCTACAAATGTTTAATAGAGCAAGAATTTTTTTCCACAGTATTTCCTATAATATTTTTTCCTCTTGAGAAAGTTTTATTTGTTTTATTTTGGCTAGAATAAAAGCAGTTTTTATTTAAAAATATATATATTATTGGCTTCCAAAAGCAATATTTTTTTTTGTCTACAGAACAAACTGTTAGGCAATGACTTGCCTAGTTAACCTAATTAACCTAGATAAGCCTAATTAATCTAGTTAAGCCTTTAAATGGCACTGTAAACTATAAAAAAAATGTACTGTCATCATGGCAAAGAGAAATCCGTTATTAAAACTATTGTTTAGAAATGTGTTGAAGAAAATCTTTCAATTGGAAAAAAAATATATACAGAGGGGCTCATAATTCTGACTATTTCTGAAGGATCATGTGGCGATAAAGACTGATGAAATTCAAGCCATGGCATCACAGAAATAGATGACTTTTTAAAAATAGTATTAAGTATTAAAAATAGGAAACTAGTTGTTTTAAATTGTAATAACGTCGCAAGTTTTTTATGTTCTGTATTTTAGTCAAATAAATGCAGCCATTTTTTAACTTTGTCCTTCAAAGATTAAAAAAATGGTACCAGTCTGTATCAAAATTGAACAACAATATAACTTGTTTTTTTTGTCTGTAGAACAATCCTGTTGAGCGTGATCTCGCTGCTAAATGAACCCAACACCTTTTCTCCTGCAAATGTGGACGCCTCAGTCATGTTTCGCAAGTGGAGGGACAGCAAAGGCAAGGACAAAGAATATGCAGAGATTATAAGGTACCACCATTTTATCTCTTAAATGACTTCCCTGAAAACACATACTCAGCTTTTTCTATCCAATTCTATTAAGTATAAGGGTTAGTCTCAATTTTTTTGAGCTACTGACATGAATGAGAAGTCAAAATGAGTGGTTTGTTAAGGAGCTAAAATAATCAAGCTTAGAATTGTTTCATGCTGGGCAACAAAATGCCAAAAATGACTTAAACCACTGACATTGACTGAGATCTAGATTAAACATTGGCTACAGCCACACTCTGGCCCCAAACGCTTCCATTGCACCATCCCACCAATGTTTAGGACACACTGCTCTCTGAGCATGTCTTTCTTTCCCTTGGGCAAGTAAACATTAGCAGAAATGTTGAACTTTTCCCTTATTGACATTCTTTTCTAACAAAACAGATCCCTCAGCAGAAAACATGATTTGCTTGTTCTCAGGGGGGAAAAGTGTTGAAAATATTCTCTTGGTGTCAGCAAGATTGAAACTGTTTTTAAAATAAGCCGCACCAAGGATGCATTTATTTGATCAAAAATAAAGCATGAAGTGTAATGATGAACAAAAGTAATAAAAATAGTAGTAAAAAAACAGCATTTGTTAGTTATAAGTAGTTGTGAACTTCATAAACATCTTTGTGACGTTTTTTCATTTATTTAATGTATTTTCATAAAGATCATCAACCAATAAAAGGCTGTTGTCATGGCTTTTGCATGGCTACGGTAGTTAAAGAAACTCTGTTATAAGAACAAGCTACTGTACCATGCCTGCTACTGAAATAAATTTCCCCCATTTTCCTTGTTGCATTTGTAAACAGCAACAGGTAAATGTCATTACATTGGCCTTTTTAATTTGCAAGCCTTGTAACGCTTTACAATACTGTGGTGATGTTTCATATGGCGTCTGTAGGTCCTATTATGCAGGATTAGACTCTACTCTGATGTGTGTAATTTAGGTTCCCCAATATTCCTTTTCCACCAGCATGAACCAGGGGCTAGTTCAGAGCTAGTGCTATTGCTAGTTCTGTGTTGAACTAGCAAGAGGTAGAGAGTCTTGTACAAAGTCACTTACACTATGCCATCCGAACCGTGCCCAGGTGCGTTTCCAGTTTGTTTGACAAGTGTGAGCGCTACGAATCGGGTGCACTTCAGTTGGCCGGCTCGAATGGGCTTTGGTGCGGTACGCTTGTAGTGTGAGCCTGAAACGGAAGACGCGATGTCACTTTTAAGAGACTGTGTCATATGGATTTATGAATCATTCTTACTTTTCAATGAACCCAAACTGACATAGTTTATTAAAGACGTAAACCCCTCCTTGCACGTCAGCTGCACCTTCAGCAAACCTCCTAATATGTTTTGCACGGTGACTTTCATGAGCGTCAAAAGTTGTGGATCTGTTGGGGAAAATATTTGACTATGTGTCACTGCATCCCAAACGACTAAACTAAATACGATATATAAACTATATACGATATAGGTAAAGCACTCTCCACTGTGCTGAGAGAGAATTCTTCTCTTCCTGTTAAACTTCAAATCGTGAATACGATTCGATTAATCGCACTAGCCCTAGTTACAATAAAAATACATATTATTTGTATGCACTTTTCCTAGATACAGTACATGCAACTGAAAGCGCTTTACAAACAAGTATTTAAAAAAAACAACATTAATTGTTTAAGCCGAACAGATTTGCTGACGCTATATATGTTTACGTTGTGTACAGGAAGCAGGTGGTGTCCACTAAGGCAGATGCCGAACGAGATGGGGTAAAAGTGCCGACAACGCTAGCGGAGTACTGCATCCAGACCAAAGTGCCTTCCCACGGCAGTACATCTGACCTGCTCTACGATGATCTGTACGATGACGACATAGAGGAGGATGATGACGATGAGGACGAGGCAGAAGCCGGAGGGATTAGCAGCGAAATGGCAGGGGACTGCTTTGGCGACGAAGAAGACTCTGGCAACGAGGAGTCTTGACCTCCTTCCCTATGTTTCTGTGACATTGACCTTCACCCACTCGCTATTCTTTACCCCGACGGCCTCATGTTTCAGATGCTCTTTCTCTGTGCTGAAAGCTTTCGTTTAGTTTTTTTCACTGTTCACTCCAAATCTCATAACTTCAGATGTGTGGCTTTACAGAACCTCCCCGTTCCTCAGTAAAGTACACTATGGGTTCATAAAAGTAGTCATTTGAATATGTTCACATCCCACCTTCTCCTGCCTTTTAACCTCAGGGCTTTTGGATATTGAGAGCTTGTCACATCCCCGTGAACATTGTTCATTTCAAAATTTTCTTTATAACAACCCTATTGTAAGGGCTAATTTCCTCTAAAATTAAATTCTGTTATGATTCATTCACCTTCACATGGTTCCAAACCTGTAGAAGTGTCTTTAATGAAAAAAAAAAAGTGCTTCTCCATAGATTATAGCTAGATTACCCCTCCATTCAAAATAACCACTACATTGTAGGTGGGAAAAAAAGTCAATAAAAAAAGGTAGAGCTGGGCCGATAAATTATATTATATTGAATCACGATAAAATTTGTCATTAGCAATAAGCTCTGGACTTTTTGTCTCTATAATGATCGAAGCGCCAATCACTAAGAGCCAGTGCAACAATGGGAATCTAAAAGTGTGTTGATATTAGAGACGTATAGAAAATTTATCCGTCAACAATACGTTAAGCCATTTAATGGACCCACACATTTTTCTGGCTTCAGTCATTGTTGGGATACTCTATTAAATCTGGAAGCATAAACAACTCTAAATATATATCATTATCGTTCAATATGGAAGCCCGAAAAAAAGTGTAGTATGTCTCAATTGACAGTATTCATAAAACAACAAACCATACAAATGAACTGCAACACATTCCAAAGTGTAAATATGATAGACTGGCAGATGTGTATTCACAACTATAATCCTAAGTATAGTCACTCACAATGGATTTATTCACCCCTAGCATTAACATGTTTTTTGTGAATCCAATCACAAGTGGATCATGCTAAAACAGAGGTAAATTAAGACTGAAATGTACTGAGCTTGTAGACCAGGGGTGTCTGAAGTTGAAAACAAATTCGATTGAAATGTTTGTGGTGTAAAAGCTCATGTGTTCAAACAGCCACAAAAGACTACATACTCATAACCTACTAAACCAACGATTGAACGTTATAGGATGTGTTGAGAGATAACTTGCATCATGCATTACACAAAGTGATGTGAAGTAGAGCATACCAAAACAAGAGTAGAAGGTAACAGTGACATGTTTTAAATGGCCAATTGAGAACTGGAACCCCTGAAATTTTCAGTGATGTCTTTTATAACCAAATACAGTTTGGTAGTTTAAATCAAAGACACCGTACAGGATTGGAAATGAAATAAGGGTGAGTAAATTATGATAAAATTTAAATTTTTGAGATAACCCTTCAACCCACCCATGGGCTACTTATGTCTGGTAAAACCATCAACAAACGAATGTTTTCTGTTTGTTCCTGAACGTTCACATATGGACAGTTTCTTCAAAGCGTTATAGGGCTTCTATGTATCCACAAGAAAGGAAAGTATTCAAAGCTGGGAAAACGAGAGACTGAACAGACTCTTTCTCATAAAAACGAAGCGTCAGCCATCCTCATCAGCCAGGTCACCTTCGCCACAGCTAACTCTACATACATCCCCAAATCACTTGAGCTTTTCTGAGCCATTAAATCACAGTGTCAGATTATATGGCACATGAAGGTGCTTTCAAGTGCTCAGCATTTAAACGACTTCCAGCACACCATCGTTTCTCTAATTCAGGATTGATTTAACCCTGAAAGTTCGATCAACTGATTTCTGGCTGTAGGAAATCACGCATTTAGGCTTTTAAAAACACACATACTATTGGTAAGTGATCACGTACGAGTGCCCGAGCAGCTGTACCAAACCATTTCCTCACAGAGTTTATCAAGTACGGGGTTTGAGCTCAGTGACTGCTGAGGACATTTTGCTCATCATCATGAGCCCTCTCATCCCTGGGTTTTTTTCTTTTGCATTTGCGACTTGCCACGGTGGGCCGTAGCTTTCAAAAGCATGCTTGTGTGTTTTCTGTGTTTTCTATCAATCATTGAGGCACTGAGGTCACATTAATGAGGGCGGAAGACGTTTATGCACACGGGGTCTCAGGTACATCTTTATTCCTGCAAACCAGCCAAGGACACCTGATTCCCAATCCTCCAAATCCCCTCCAAAAAGGAGCGTCGATGCGAGGACCGCGAGGGAAACGGTGCTTTCGTTTTTCTGCCGAGCATCAAGAACTCGTTGAACTACTAAAACAATCGTTCCTGATTTAATCGCTCTGGCCTACGAGCTCAGAGACGCGAACTGATTAAAACAGACTGGATCTTTCACATTCAGCAAGAGACTCGGTGTATAACACCCCTGTGCACAGCAAAACTAAAAGTTCATTTCGAAAAAACAAGTGTTGTGACATTAGTCGACAGTGAATTTGTCTTGAAGGACTTTATTATTTGTGTCACGAGTGTGTTTTTAATGTTCCATTATTATTTTTTTTCGCCATATACTTTTGTTTGGCAGGAGTTGTGGTCCTTGGTCAGATCAAAAACAACCGAAGTCATTATTTGCTCTAAGTTCAATGCATTTCCTTTTTCTTGTGATGATGTTAAAGGGAATACCATTCAGAATACTCACTTGAGGAGCTTTGAGGTTGGGGGTGGTGGGGGGGATCGTCCGGATTGATCGTTTTAAGACTGTGCTTGTATGATCACAATACAATTCATTTTTTGTTTGAGTGTATGTACAGGAGCTAATGCTCCTTAGCAATTAAACCATTAGACAACACATAAAGAGGTGCTTTTTAGTTCGTGATGGGGTTGTCGGCTACTAAAACAGTAGTCAACATTTGAAGTGGATCAAAAGATGTTTGCAAAATTGTGCCAAGACAATAGGTGTTGTTCAGTAATTTTAGGACAACTTTGGGGGGTGAGATCCACTTCAAATGTTGATTACTGAATACACACACACCTTTTATGCAGGACTATGAAACCAAAAATCACTAAATTAAATGCGAGAAAAACACAAAAGATACTAATTTTTAACTAAAAATAATATTAAAATGAAATATGATTTGTCGAAATGACTAAAAAGCCATAAATACAGTCACTAGTAATACAATTTAATAGTTTATCACTTAACCAGTGACTGTTTACATGGACATCAGTAATCAAATGATTTACCTTAATCTGAATAAGACAATAATATGATTATTGGTGTTTACATGAGTTGCTTTTTGAATGTTCTCTTCATGATCCTGCTTTATCTTTTAGAGAATAATTTGATTAACGTCATTGCGCCCCCAGGATATCCACATTTCCACTAGAGTTTCATGTAATTTCGAGTGTTTTATTTATAGTTTGTTGACTTTAACTGCAGTTTGGCATTTTCACTTTTTGTTCAGGAGCATTTCATGCATGCCCCTCATGACGAACGAGATATTGGATGCATTGAACTGCTGGAAGAGTGTTGTTTTAATAGAATTTGATACTACATGCCGTATGGGGGAAAAAACCCTCCGCATTTCACGATGCAGGTGTCTGTTGTGCTTCACTGACATAATAGGTGCAGAGAATACTGTCAAACAGATGTGTGTATAGAACATTTTGCAGCAAAATCCTACATGACAGTAATAGTTTGAATAAGTTGTCAGTGAGTATGTTTACATGGACACCAATAATCTGATTTTAATTCGTTTAAGACAATACTTTGATTAAGAGTCTACCATGTAAACAGCGATTTTTGATTAATCTGATTAAGGTCATAATCGAACTAAACTACAATCATAATAAGACATGTGGAGTATGCCGATTTTAGTGGCATTATTGAAGTGCAGTACACATGTAAACACCTTAAACCAGGGGTGTCAAACTCAATTCCTGGAGGTCCGCAGCCCTGGACAGTTTAGTTCCAACACACGTACCTGTAGGATTCAAACAAGCCTGAAGGACTCAATTAGTTTGATCAGGTGTGTTTAATTAGGGTTGGAACTAAACTGTTCAGAGCTGCGGCCCTTTTGGAACTGAGTTTGACATCCCTGCCTTAAACTATTACCATCGTGTAAGACTTCAAATTCCATTAAAACTACTCTTCCAGCAGTTCATATTCACGGCGGGATGCATGAAATGCTTCAGAAAGAAAGTGAAAGCGCTAAACAGTTTAAGTTGACATTTATGTAACTCATGTAAACACCTTAATCATATTATTGTCTCATCCAGATTAGGGTAAATAATTTGATTACTGAAGTCCATGTAAACAAAGTCTGTGTCATGTCTGTACTGCACTTCAATAATGTGACTAAAATCGGCATATTCCACATATCTTAGTTAGATTTCTCTTAAGCTTGATTATGACCTTAATCGGATTAAATGTATCAAAAATCTTTGTTTACATGTTAGACTCTTAATCAGAGTATTGTCTTAATCAGATTATTGGTGTCCATGCAAAAGGACTCAATGACTTGGACATCAGTAATCAAATTGTTTGCTTTAATCTAAATAAGACAATAATAAGATTAAGGTGTTTACATGAGTTGCTTTTGAGTGTTAACTTTGATGATCCCGTTTTACATGTTATTGCGCATAATTCGATTATCGTTATTGCGTCACTGCGCTATCGGCATTTCCTCTGGAGTTTTATATATTTTCGAGTGTTTCATTTTTAATTTGTTGACTTTAACTGCAGTTTAGCACTTTCACTTTCATTCATTAACATTTCATGCACGCCCTCCGTGACAAACGAGATATTGGATGCAACTATGAACTGCTGGAAGAGTTGTTTAATGGAAGTTCACACCACATGCTAAACGGAAGAGAAAAAAACTCGATGCAATTCACGATGCAATTGTCTGTGGTCTGCACTGACTGGGTAGGTACAAAGAGTGTCAAACAGCTGTGTGTGTATGTGCGTGTGGACTATCCAAAACGCAGCAAAAAGTCCTAAATGACAGTAATAGTTCGAATAAGGTGTTTACATGTCTGTACCGCACTTCAATGATATGACTAAAATCGGCATATTCCACATGACTTAATTATATTTCTCTTTAGTTTGATTATGACCTTAATTTAATTAATCAAAAAACGCCGTTTTGGTAGACTCTTAATCAGAGTATTGTCTTAATCGCATTAAAATCGAATTATTGGTGTCCATGTAAACATACTCAATGAGTAGCACTGTTACCAAATTGACACAGTGTGGTCATGAAAGCAGTTTCTTCTATCAATTTTAATTTCAAATTCAAAACTGGCAGATTATTATTTATTAATTCTTTATTTATTTATTTTATTTATTTATTGTTTACATTTCCAAGGTACAATATATAAAGACCTACTGGTTTAACGGTTATAAGCATATATTAACATACAGTGAGTGCAACTTTGGACCAGATGGTGGTGTTGATGCGTCTTCATATTCATATTCAGAAAGTGCTTAGCCTTAAATACTAATTAAAACCATGCATAAATGATGAGCTGTATTTCATTTACTAGTTTCATTACAATTACAGCAAAACAATCTACATGACAAAAGGACTACAACAAAATAATTTGTGTACAGCATTATTCCTGATGTACCATTTAGCTTCTAATGTGTTATTCATGAGGTATTTGCAACTAGATCTAAACTGCAACTCTGAATAATGTTACAGTATGTGGATAAACTGTAAAAACAAAGTGAATTAGATGGGATTATTTGCTATGCATGTATAGATCTGACAAAAAATAGCAGTCTCATTTTTCAAGCCTTACCGTCTTTCCAGGTAAAAACAAGCTTTATAAATCATACTGTTAATTACCACAGGAAAAAAAGGTGTATGTCTACGATGGCCAATAGACTTCCATTATATTGTGCTGAAAGTGTTTTGTTTAGCTTTTCTGTGGTTATTAACGGCAAGCCTCACATGGAGTTACTAGAGATTACGTTGCACTGAACCCGGAACATTCTTTAAAATGAATAACCGCTTTGTTTAGTTTGTTGGTCGAGAGTTCAAGGTTGTAAGGTTAGATGCAAGGCTTTCTCTTGACATTTTCAAATACAAGGAAGCAAACTATATAATATGAATTTCATGACACAGAGACGGATGTCAAAAATCAGTCAAACTCATACAAAACACCAGCTCCTCTGTTAAACTTTCATGCATTCAGCCTTCTAAAACAATTAATCAATACCAATGCAAGTATTGTCAGTGTTAGTGTAAATGTTAGTGTTTTCTGTTTGTTTCTAGATAGCGCTGTGCCGCTGTAAGTGTGTCCTGTAAGTCCTGGTATTGTGCCAGCTTGCAGGCTTCCTCTAGCTTGGCCCATCTGTAATCCTGGTGTTCGTCAGAGAGAATGACCTGTGTGTTTGGGTTGCGAAGCTCAGCCAGCCAGTACACGACCTCTTTGTCCTTCCCCCGGACCTGATAATGCAACCTCTGCAGGAAACCATCCACCACACGCAGGTGATCTTTACCTAAACCCGCTTCTTCTTGAGTTTCTCTCAAGGCGGTGGTGAGGTCGTCCTCTCCAGGGTCAACATGACCTTATGGAGCGGAGGACAATGTTATTTATTGGGTAAAAACACTGGGGAAATTGCAGATGGTCAGATGTCTTTAACTTCTTTTCTTGCTGGCTTTAACTGAAGATAGTCTGGTGAATCACTCCAATAGGTGGTGTATTTTTATAATAATAAAAATAATAATAATAATAATAATAATACAGTAAACTAAAATTATTCATTGGATTTACGAAGTGGTTGCAAAAAATGTATATAGGCTTGAGTTTAAACAAATTAAGCTGAACATTACTAAATGTAATTTCTGTGTTTAAATTAAGCCCATATAAATTGTTTGCAACCACTTACCTTAAAAAACTATCTTTTTTTATTGTCAATTTTTATTTATCTAATAATGTAAAAATACAGTGCTCAGCATAATAGGCTATATGCCAAAGTATGCTAAAGGACTTTTAATTTGCCAGTAACCCGAGTTAAGCTCTTCTAGTGAACTGTATGCCACTGCAAAATGTTTATCGTCTGTTTACTTTAAAATCTTCACTGGCTGAGTGATATCTGATATAAAGTGGGTCTCAGATTGTATAAGAAGCACTGCATTAAATTACATTTTCCCAGCCATGTCTTTAAAATATGAACATTTATTTTACCCATGTATATACAATAGAGCTTCTGCTCTAGCCTGCCGATTCTGATGGGTGCATGCATGTAAACGACTTTCCATTTCCTTTTACGCTTGAGCAACTAAATGAATACCAAAGTCTATTTAACTGATTGTATTGTAATTACATTACCACATTGATGCTGTAAAAGGAACAATATAAAATGGAAAAAAGTCACATTAACTGTTCACCGGATGTTTGTCAGTAAGGTAAGAAACACTAGCTCCACATATATACTATTGAGTACACCCCATTTTGAAAACTAATATTTGTATCCATTTCTCAGTGAATATAGGCAATGTAATTTGTTGCATTTAAACAAAACAGATTTATTAAACGGATATATTTATTAAAATAATATTCTAGTCATCAAACATATTTTAGAAATTGAAACATAATACAATCAAATTCAAGCAAAATATTGATTTTGCTTCTTTTTTAAAATTTGTATTTAATATTTTTCTTTAACATATCAGTTTAGGTGTACTAGTTTTTGGACCGATATCGTAAGTTATTTTGTTAAGACGAGCTCCAGATTTGGCTTTAGTACTGACTAATCTCATGTATATGCACGAATATAATATTGTATAGCTTTCTATTAAAACTATGAATTTAAAAGATAGATTTGTGTACTCATATACAGTATGCTGAGCATTGTACCTATTGTTATTTAAATAGTAATCAAAACAATTATAAGTAATACACTTTAATATTGTATTTTTTTATAGTGCTGGGCAAAAAATAATCACAGTTAATCGAATCCAAAATAAAAGTTTGTTTTGATAGTTTAAGTGTGTGTACTGGGTATATTTATCATGTTTAAATACACACAGGCATGTATATATCTGATAAAATGTTTATTTATATTCAGATATAAAATATCTGTATATGATACATATTAAATATAAATTTAATTATCTATGGATTTGATGGAGTTTTGAATAGTTTCGTATCTATGCATGTGTATGCATAACATATACAGTTGAAGTCAGAATTATTAGCCCCCCCATAGAATTTGTTTTCTTTTTTTTAATTTTTCCCAAATGAGGTTTATCAGAGCAAGGAAATTTTCACAGTGTGTCTGATAATATTTTTTTCTTCTGGAGAAAATCTTATTTGTTTTATTTTGGCTAGAATAAAAGCAGTTTTGAAATTTTTTATAAACATTTAAAGGTCAAAATTATTAGCCCCTTTAAGCTAAATTCTTTCGATATTTCTTGTCGGCTTAGTCCCTTTATTAATAACCGCCAACTTATCCAGCAAGTTTTTACGCAGTGGATGCCCTTCCAGCCGCAACCCATCTCTGGGAAACATCCACACACACATTCATACATTACGGACAATTTAGCCTACCCAATTCACCTGTACCGCATGTCTTTGGACTGTGGGGGAAACCGGAGCACCTGGAGGAAACCCACGCGAAGGCAGGGAGAACATGCAAACTCCACACAGAAACGCCAACTGAGCCGAGGTTCGATCCAGCAACCCAGCGACCTTCTTGCTGTGAGGCGGCAGCACTACCTACTGCGCCACTGCCTCATCTATTCTTTCGATAGTCTACAGAAAAAAACATTGTTTTACAATAACTTACCCAATTACCCTAACCTGCCTAGTTAACCTAATTAACCTAGTTAAGCCATTAAATGCCACTAAGCTGTATAGAAGTGTCTTGAAAAATATCTAGTAAAATATTACTTACTGTCATCATGGCAAAGATAAAATAAATCAGTTAAAATTAGATAAAAATTAGTAATTAAAACTATTATGTTAAGAATTGTGTTGAAAAAAAAAATATCTCCATTAAACAAAAATTGGGGAAAAAAAATAAACGGGGTGAATAATTCAGGGGGGCTAATAATTCTGACTTCAACTGTGTATGTATATGTATATGTGTGTGTGTGTGTGTGTGTGTGTGTGTATGTGTGTGTATATATATATATATATATATATATATATATATATATATATATATATATATATATATATAAACCATTTCAATGTGGTCATGCCATTGGCCCATGAACATTTCCTACTTATCAAACTACTTCATAACTGTAACAAGAGCCAATTCAATCATAACTTAATGTTAAAACAGCTCTCATAACATTATTTATCATTATGTGGCTCTTTTTGAATTCTCTGAAGCTGTAGAAATTAAAAACGTAAAACAGGACATAGGTTGGGACCATTGTTTTTGTTTACACCCCTCAAAATGCTCAGCACTAATATTTAATCATATTTATTATTTTTGTTGACACTGTGAATATTTTGCAAGGTGTGAGAGACCTACTGTACCTGACCTATTGTCTGGGTAAAAATATATTTTAACAAAGGTCTTAGATTTTTACAAAAATTATAAATAAATAAATTTGTAATTTAACTTTAAATTTTGTTGATTATTTTCCCCTGCACATTAAAATCTGTTCATTTAAATACTAATTCACTCTCATCTTTATACTTTTCAACTATCATTCAAATAATCTGCTTTACCCATTTTTCAACTTCAGGTTTATCATTTAAAATACTGGTTAGTGTGATCACTTTTTCCTTTATATATTTCTATATGTACAGAACAAAATATGTGTGCTGCTTCTCGTGTGTCTTATGTGTGTGTATATAAAATGTTTTTCATTTCAGTTAATAAGATAATCTCGTCTTTACCACATACATTATTGTCTGTGAGTAGCTAGATAATGACCCAAAATGTTCTTTTGTATTTGATGGAGCACAGTGAACTGATGCTGTGAGATGCACCTTTGGGTGGTGTCCAGTGGTGTTCTCCATATGAGGTCTGCAGCAGCAGGAACTCTATGTTATCAGGTGGAGGCAGCTGAGCCAAACAACGAAAGATGACAAATCCACACGCCCGCAGCGCCATATCCTGGAAACACAATCAACATGTCAGAGACCTGGATAGTGTTATACATATTATTCATTTAGTTTTTAAATTTGAAAATGTTAATGGGTTATATTATTACACATTTAACACACACATATAACACTATTTCTCAGTGTATAAACTACTTTTTGAAACTTTGTTTACTAGATTTCCCTTAGAAAATCATATTTTACGCTTATTGTTGTTTAAGAGTTTCAAAGTCCAAGTTAACTTAGCATTAGACAAAACGACATGCTTTAAGAAACAGCAGTGAAGGCTAATAGACAATTTGAGCTCTACACAGACAAACTAGCTGATTTAAGACGGTTAAAGCCATCTAAAGTCTCCTAAAGGCGTTATTTAAATACACATTGTTGGCTGAAAACACTCATGAACGAACCTGTGCTCGCTTAAGTGGAACAAGCACATGACAGAATGCTAACACCATTCAATATTAGCTTAAAGTAAATGGCGTGGTTTAACAAACGAAATCATTTCACTTACTTCTAGCTGATATTGATTGTCCTTCTCTGTTCAGAACATATGTGACATAGTCTGCTTCGTTATTAAATGAATGTCACGAATAGAGCTTAAAACATACAGGCTACTTTCTGTTTTCAACTGCGGAACCGCCGCGCAAAGATGACGTTCAAGAACACGCAGGGCTGATTCGCTCTATGATTGGCTGACTCGCTGATAATCTAATAATAATAGTATTTTTAATTATTGTTATAAAGAGACAAGAGCTCTTAAATGTGACTTGAAAGGGAATTATTCTATTTTAAATGTTTATCAAAATCAATACATTTAGAATAGAATAGTGTAAACAATCCTGACTGTTTAACATATAGTAAACAATCCTGACTGTTTTTGTATTTCATTTTAGTTTCACGTTACTGGGAATTCATTTATCTTTCAGTTAATAATGCGCCATTAAGTTTTATACATGAAACGAAGATAATGTTGAACGCGTTGAGTTGCTGTGATCTGCAGGGCTGATAGGACCGACCGCAGCACCCGGTGGACTGAAGATAACAAGACCCTCATCCTCATAAGAAACTGACGCACATCGCACAGCATTCACAACCAGCAGCACTAGGACGAGGTAAAACTCTCTCAAATATTTGTGGTAATAATGTCTGTGTGACCAAATGTGATGTAAGAACGTATGTTGATGCTGATTTTATAAGTATATAAGCGTAGTTTTGCTTGGAGAGTTTAACAGTTTTGTATGTGCTCTGCTTTTAAGTTGTTTCATTTATGATAATCGAGAAAACGTGTTTACTGAGGAGAATGGCAGCTAAATACACGCGAGAACTAATTAAATATTAATAGGATACCTAATAATAGTTAAGCTATTTTATTGGTAATCATTTTATTCTATTTATTATTCATCTCCAACAATAAACTAGTTTTCATTTGTTTTAAACCAAATAGATATGTCTGTTGAAAATTACTGTTTATATTTTCCGATATGGACTAACATATTCATCATACTGAAGGGATAGTTCACCCCAAAAAAGAAGATCTACACACTATTTACTCATGCTCAGGTGGTTCCAAACCTTTTTTATGTTGACAACAAAAGAAGATATTTTGAAGAAAGCTGAAAACCTGTTTAAATCCATGTTATGAAAAACAAATACTAAGTCGATGGTCCTGACATTTTATCCTACCCATCAGATTATGCTATCAACACTGTATTTGCATGGTACCCGAGGGTTAGGAATTAGGTAGGTTAGGGCAACATTACAGCTTCACTTCACACTAAAATTTACACTGGAAGCAAAATCTAATTGGCTGCATATTACGTCATCAAAATGTGCTTCCCACTTTTTCATTGGGAGGTAGGACAATCTGACTAGGTAGGACAAAATCAACAGAACACCACTTTCCAGCTTTCTTTAACATATCTTTAACACAAGAAAGAAACTCAAACAGGTTTGAAGCGAGTGAAGTGTGAGTAAATTATCACAGAATCGTCATTTTCACATACTTTTTTGGGTGAAACTATTTATTTTAAGATGGTTTAAATAAACTTGTTGCATCTAAAAAAACAATTATTGTTTAAATGTCCCCCAATTATCACTTTTGACCGCTGCTGTATTGATATGTACAGTTAATAGGTTGATTTGAGCACCCGATTTGTGTTTTAGCATAAAATATTGATAATAAGTAAAAAATTTTGTTACATTTGCATAATTTATTTGATACAATTTATTTGATACCATTTTATTCTTATTGCATTCTAAATTATGCTATGCTATCTATCTATCTATCTATAAAATTAAACATACCTACAATAAATAAATGTATACAAACATCCCACTTTTTACTGTACTTTATAATTTATAGATATTAAAAAAAACTTCTTCTAATTGTGCCAAAGTATAACGAATATAAAAGGTTGTTCTTCAAAATATTTCATTCAGTATTATTATTATCATTAAACAATATATTTAACCAAATTCATCTGTATTTGGATAGATAACAAAATATATTAATTTGACTAAATTCTATTTTCACAGGAAACAATATTAAAGCGCATCCATGGATGAAAAGAAGCCTTCTCGCATGTACTTCATTGGCAAAAAAGAAGAGCTCATTCAGGCCAAGAGAACGACTGTAACGCTGGACGGAAGAGACATCCTTTTATTGTATCATCAGAGAACTTTTTACGCAATGGACCTGCAGTGTTACCGTGAGTAGCATGAAAAGCATCTTTGCTGATTTGTTTCCACTAGAGGGAGACAAAGTATCAAATTGAGCACTGCGATAATGCTGTTGAGGACATGTGCCAAAATCAAAATAATGAGAGGTCATATGTTGTTTGGGTCACCTTTTAATGCACGCGACTACTGCGATTCAAATGATGGGTTGTATTTCCGGTCAGAGGAACTTCCATTCAAGAGAAATGAAACAAATCACTTTAAATGATAAGAGTGCACTACAAATAATCTATTTACATAAACTGTAAAACCTAACATTCAACTTTATCAAATGAAATAAGTGTAGTTAACTCTAAATTGACTGAAAGTTAATTCTACTCATTTGAAAAGAGTTTTGAACTCAGTGTTGAAAGTAATGAGTTAATTAAATACTCCATTACTTCAACTGAAATGGAGTAAGTTCACAGTACTGATTAGTTTAACTCAAATGGTTTGTAGCAATCAGTTTCCTCAAACAGTTTGAGTTACCTTAACTTATTAGGTTTTGCAGTACTCAGTTATTTTGAGTTCTCTTCATTTAATGGGTTTTTACTGTGCTCAAATTGCTTCATTTACTCAAATGGATTAAGTTGACAGCACTCATTAGGATTAGTTTTTAAACTTAAATGGTTTGATGCAATCGGTTTCCTCAAATGGTTTGAGTTACCTTAACTTATTGGGTTTTACAGTGTAGTAAACACTGAACGAGAGGTAGGTTCGGCCTTGTGCTTTATTTTATCCATCATGAAAATAACGTTATGCTTGGTATTTTAACATGACATTAGTTTTACTAGTATTATCTGTGGCCCAACCTTTTTTTGTGTTCAATGTGTTTTGATCTTCAGATTATTTTCACTTTGTATTATGTACAATATAGTCATTTTTAATATTCGACATTGCAGAGTGTGGGCCAAAGTGCTTTGTTCATGGGTTCCACACTGGCTCTATCTAAATTAGCCCATGCGAATCTCACATTTAATCTGACTGACTGGAAACATGCATAAATCCCATATTGGGGCCACTTGAAGGATATATGTTGTATTCACAAGGTTTTGCAAGATAAATTCTTCAAATCCAAAACTTTTTGGACTACTATGACTACTATGTATATATAAACAACATCAGGATTTTAGTTTGGTAAAACCCCTTTTTGATTTTTCCCTCATTCATAGCTAAATAAATTCTAATAAATGCATAATCAAGTGAACACTTTTATTCTGAACATCCAAACAAATAAACAAAAAATGATACAAATGGAAAATAATGCAGTTGAAGTCAGAATTATTAGTTATTATTATTATTATTATTGATTTTTTTTCTTTTTTAATTAATTCCCAAATCCTGTTTAACAGAGTACAGAATTTTTACAGTATGTCTGAAAATATTTTTTATTCTGGAGAAAGTCTTATGTGCTGTATTTAGGCTAGAATAAAAGCAGTTTTTAATTTTTAAAAAACATTTTAAGGTCAATATTATTAGCCCCTTTTAGCTAAATTTATTTTCAATAGTCAACCGAATCAACAAGTTATTAAAACTATTATGTTCAGAAATGTGTTGAAAAAAATTAACTGGGGGGCTAGTAATTCAGGAGGTTTAATAATTCTGACTTCAACTGTATAATAAAATCGATGATATTCATGGTTAAAAAGTGACTATCAAACAAAATGTAATTATTTAAAAAACTTTTAAAGTTCTGTAAAGTGCTTTGAAATGTGCAATTTTATTCAATGTTTGATGTAATCTCAAGCCCAGTTACTGTACATTGCATAAACGTACCATATTTTCATACTTATATGGGTCCCACTTTGTAAAACACACAGCCCATGCCCACATGAATCCCATTAAGGTCCCATCTATTCAAACCCACATGGGACCCACATATATTGCCCATGTTCAGCCCCTGCCCACATGGAACGCATGCAGCCACATGGGGCCAACAATATCAATGTTGTCTGGATATTGCTGCGGAAAGACTTGTTTTGAGTGTGTGTGGTTATTCATGATCTGCTGCAAGTACATTTTTAATTCTAATAAGTATTAGTAAACTGTGGAATACTGTGAATAACGTCTACACTGATTGTTTACATTTAATGGAAGTTACTCCAATAATTCATACAAAGTATCATGTGGTGTATGAAAAGTGAAAACTGTGTCTTTTCCCCTTTTACAGATGCTGGCAGCACATTAGAAACTGGAGATATTGAGGTAAAGCCATTCTTCTCAAGCCACTGACTCACTCAATGATCCGTAAACACACTTGACATGCATTGTTACCTCCCATGACCCCGTTTCCCATTTCACACACAGGAAATCAACAGCAAGCTCTGTATCGTGTGCCCAAAGCACAAGTATAAGATCACTCTGGCTGAAGGCGAGGGTTTATACAAGGCCACAAACCCAACTGAAAAAGTGCCTACCCCGCGGTGGTACTCCAAAGGCATAAAGCAGAGAGTGCACAAAGTGACGGAGGTGGACGAGGACATCTTTGTGTCTGTGTCCACCTGCCCGGTGTGGATCGAGTCGGACTATTATCAGAGTGAGAAGGGCAGAGCGGAGCTGAAAAAAGCACAGGAGTCGGGCGACGCAGAGGCAGATGTCAATGCAGATGAAGACGTTTAGAGAGATCCTGAGGGAACCGCATATATTAGGATTGAGGATTTCAGAGGCAGTCTGCATGAATAAAACTGCAATCTGACATCACCAATCAAAATATTTCTTCCTTTTAGAGTCAGTGGCAGGATTTCTGTGCATCTCCGGGATTCACTGCAACGGCTTGACTTTCAAGACCACATTTCTCAGCTAAACACCGATGGATAAGCACATTTTTGAGTTATACGATGACTTTCTTAAAAGAAGTTTTTATTGTATGTGTGAATACAATATTTAATGCAAAAAAAGCTCTAAGTTGCAATATTTTACGTTAAATTTGGAATTTGGATGTCTTTTTGCATTTAAGTTTCTATCAAATTGACTTATAAAAAAAAAAATATATATATATATATATATATATATATATATATATATATATATATATATATATATATATATATATATATATATATAAAACTAATAATTATTCATTGTCATTGAATGTAATATATTTCTGTCAAAACTTTGGCCCCATTAATACAAAATGACCATCGTGTCAATACCACAGCCTGAATATTGTTGCTGACCCATGTCCATCCCTTAATCTTCTGATGGCTACTTTCAGCAAGATAACATGCCATGTCAAAAAGCATGAATCATTTCAGATTGCTTTCTTGAACATGACAATGAGTTCACTATACTCAAATGGCCTCTACAGTCACCAGATTTAAATCCAATAGAGCACCTTTGGGTTGTGGTGGAACGGGAGATTTGCATCATGGATGTGCCGCCGACAAATCTGCAACTGTGTTATGCTATCAAGTTAATATGGAGCAAAATCTCTGAGGAATATTTCCAGTACCTTGTTGAGAATTGGGGCAGATCTAAAGGCAAAATGGGGTCCAACCCGATACTAGTAAGGTGTACCTAATAAAGTGGCCGATATATATATATATATATATATATATATATATATATATATATATATATATATATATATATATATATATATTTGAAGAGATAATTCTGTCATTGTTTACTTACCCATGACTTGTACCATGTTCTGTTGAAGAAGATATTTTGAAGAATGTTGTAAACCTGTCACCATTGACTTCCCAAATACTTGTTTCTCCTGCTATGAATGTCAATTGGTTACCGGTTTCCAACATTCTTCTTAATTATAGTCTTCTTTTGTGTTCAACAAACCAAAAAAAAAAGGTCAAAGTGGTTTGGAACCCCTTGAGGGTAAGTAAATATTTCATTTTAATTTTTAAGTGAGTAATCCCTTTTAATAATATTATTTACAGCTAGACATAAGCATAGCAAAAATAAAGATTTAAAGTAGTTATTTATATTTATTCATTCATTTTCTTGTCGGCTTAGTCCCTTTATTAATCCGGGGTCGCCACAGCGGAATGAACCGCCAACTTATCCAGCAAGTTTTAAATCTGATACACAGTGGATGCCCTTCCAGTCGCAACCCATCTCTGGGAAAAGTTATTTATATTGTAAACCCTAAATACTCTGTTAAATAATAAAATACACTAAACATGCCTGACCAGATATTTTTTGGTCTGTATATAAATATTGTCGCGGTATCATTTTACAGGGTGTCGTCTCTCAAGCCTTGTGCTCATATTGACACTGATACGTCTCCAATAGCTTGTTTAGTTTAGAATAAATTTCCATGAATTGCCAAGCTGATGATAGTGCAAATATTAAACTTGCTGTTCGATTATTATTTCACGCATGAAACATCCTAAAGGGAGACAATGACCATTAACTTCATGCGTAGCAGATTGAGTAACCGGCAGAAATTAAAGTGCCAGAAATTAAACAGCCTCTCCATTTATCATGCTTAATTTTCTGATTATAAAATAATTCCATTTGCTTGGCTCCCGCATGCCTAGACATCTTTCATAATTGTGTAATTATGAGAGATCCATTGCTGGAATGGATATATGCGCTCTACAAAATCTGATACACCTAAATAAAACTGCCAAAACAACAGACCTAATGGAGCAATGACCCTTTTCAAACCCTTCACTCCATGTTAAGCACAAATCCTGGTCTATTCTAATGGATAGTGCTGCTATAGGGAAAAGGCATGACATACTTCAACACCTCTGATTTGTACATCACTGACCCCTCTGCTCCAGTAGGTCCCACATCAGCCCAGGACATCCAAGATGCTCTTGGATCAATGCGCACAGTTGAACTGTGGGGTCACTGACAACATTTGACCTCTTTCTTCAGTGTGGTTAGTATGTGACATTTACTTCACATGCACTGTGGGTTTGGGATATGGTTGCTTCCTTTATTTCTGCTGTTATCTGATCCATGTTTGTGCTTTTGATAGGGTTTTTTTTTTTGAGTATGCAGGAACTCAATTCACGTTTATTTCTATAGCGCTTTACAATGTAGATTGTGTCAAAGCAGCCTTACCATAGAAGTTCTAGTAAATTGAAACTGTCAGTCCAGTTTTCAGAGTTCAGTTCAATGTGGTTTAATTTTAACTGCTGAAAGTCCAAACAGTGAAGAGCAAATCGATGTATGCGCAGCTCCACAAGTCCCAAACCAAGTGGCGACAGTGGCGAGGAACAAAACTTCACCAATTGACGAAAGTAAAGGGAAAAAACTCGGAAAACCAGGCTCAGTTGATTACCGCCATTTCTCCTCTGGCCAAACTTTCTGTGCAGAGCTGCAGCCCAGGTACTGAAGGCAGGAGAACGCCGCACGTCCATCGTGGAGAAGCTACAGGTGTCAGTAGGTCACTGGTGGGTGTTCAGGTTGGCCGACGGGATCAATGTGAAAGCTCATCTGTAACTGATGTCTTTCAGGAACTATTCTCATGCTCTATACTCCTCCATGACCAACACAGCATCTGCTCAGGATACAGCCTGGTCCAGGCCCTACTGAAAAAACCAGCTTAAACCAGCCTAGGCTGGTTTAAGCTGGATTTTTTTGCAGGGGGATTATGGATACCATGGCAGTATTGAGCTATTATGTGTTTAAAATACATCTAATAGATGCTCAAACATAAATTTATTTACTTAAACAAGGCTATTTTTAAACTGTTGTTAAATGCCTATTCGATTTTCTTTGCACAGTTAATCATGATTGCTAGCGTAAATTAGCATCTTAACGAGTCATGGACAGTTTATTTGTTTTATCATGTTTGCAAGCATGAATTAGCATGTTTAAAATGTTACAGGTTTAACATGTCTTTGCATGTTTGCTGGCGTGAATAAGCAGGTTTAACATTGATTAACATGTTTTAGCATGCTTATAGCGTTAAATAACGTGTTTAACATGTATTAATTAACATGTTTCAGGCATGCTTTACCATGGCTACCATGTTTAACATTTTGCATCGATTGATGTTTTTATCATGTTTTACCATGATTTAGCATGTTTAAAATGTTACAGGCTTAACGTCTTTTAGCATGTTTGTTAGTGTAAATAAGCATGTTTAACATTGATTAACATATTTTAGCATGCTATAACATTGATGAACAGGTTTACCACGTTTAACAGCATGCTTTACCATGACTAACATGCTTTAGTATTTAGCTTATAGCGCTGTTTTAACATATTGCATTGATTAATATGTTTCTAGCATGTTTTACCACATGCTTATTTTAAGCAAGCATGGCTAGCATAAATTAGCATTCTGCGATCTTGTTCCTAATTTGTTTAACATTTTGCTAGCCTGATTTAGCATGTTACATGTTACAAAGATGTTTCTAGAACACCTAAAGAACATTTCTAGGGCTGCGTGGAGGAATTATCATGTTGCTAGCCTGTTTTTTGTGCACGCTATTGCACAGCATAATCATTACTTATTGCATACATGGAATATGGTTCATGGTTAACATGTTTTAGCATGTTGCTGGCATGTTTTAGCATGTTGGTACATATATATTAGGCATTTTATAGAATTAAAGTTTAAAACAACAGCATTTATTTAACATTACAAACATTTAGAATTTGTTAATGTAACTTTAAAGCATTGCTAAAATTATTATACAACAATGTGATAGGGTTACTAGTTTAACACATTTATCCATGCGGCAGTGCATGTGCTGAGTAAGAGCAATTTATTAAATGATCCAGAATTATTGATTATGAATCTATTAGGCTGAGAGCAGAGTCTCTTATAGACTCAAATGATGCATGCATATTTAACATAACCCACGTTTATCTCTTAAACCAGAAATGAAGAGAGGAGAAGCATCATGACCCAGTGTGCAAACTACTGTAGATAATCAGATATTCATTCATGCCATGATGCAGGATTAAATGCAAAGACAAGAATCCCGAAGCTCACTGATACACTTAAAGTAATGTACTATGCTCTTTAAACTGGAGCTTGTTCTCATTCAGTGAGGAATAGTGTGTGTGTAAGATTAGGAGTTTCCTCGGTTGTGATCTGTGGGTCAGGAATGTACAGAGGAGCACGTGATTGTGCACTGGAGTAGAAATAAGATTGTGTGTGGCAGATGACCTACAGTAACCCACCCTGCCCTTTAGAAACAAATGTTCTGAATGGTATACAGCAACCCACCAGCAGCCTGAAAATAGCTCATACACCTCTCAGCAATGCTTGCAGAAAGTGCCTGCTTTATTATTTATTTCAGCCTGTTTACAAACAGAAATAGCTCCTTTTAGCTTGTAGGACTGTTGCCTGATATAGTGTGGAATAAATCCGCATTAAATAATGAATAAAATGGGGAATTTTGAAAACATGTACATTTTTAAAGTATCTAATGTTTAGCAATGTTTAGTGTGTCTATTTGACTTTTAACAAAATTCTGTAAAAATAACCAGATAAATTATTATTGTTATAAAAAAGGAATTACAATCTTTTTATTTTATTAGTTTAATTAATTATTTAATTGAATTGAATATAATTTTTACATTTTACTTTATAATTTTTAAGTAATTTTTTGCATTTATTAATTTTATTTTATTTTTTATTTTATTTATTTATTTATTTATTTATTTATTTATTTATTTATTTATTTATTTATTTATTTATTTATTTTTATTTTATTTTATTTTATTTATATTAATGAGATTGTTTTTGGTTTTTTATTTTTAATATTTTTTTTATTTAATTTAACTTAATTAAATTTTATTACATTAAATTTTATAAAATTTTTTCATTCAGGTTCTTTAGCATTTTTATCATTTATTTAATTAAATTTTTTTATTTATCTTTTAATGTTTTAATTTAAAAAACTTTTTTGCATTTTATTCAGCACGTTTTTACGCATTGGATGCCCTTTCAGCCACAACCCATCACTGGGAAACATTCATTCACACTCATTCACACACATACACAATTACAATTTAGCCTACCCAATTCATCATCTTTACCACGTCTTTGGAAACACGCGAATGCGGGGAGAACATGCAAACACCCTACCGAAATGCCAACTGACCCAGCCGAGGCTCGAACCAGCTAACTACTTGATGTGACGTGACAGCACTACCTACTGTGACACTGCGTCGCCTAATTTAATTTAATTTAATTTAATTTAATTTAATTTAATTTAATTTAATTTAATTTAATTTAATTTAATTTAATTTAATTTAATTTAGTTTAGTTTTGTTTTGTTTTGTTTTATTTTACTTATTATTCTTTCTGTCTTTGGTTATCTGTTATTATTGGTGTTCAAATATTTACATATTTAGTTTTTTGCAGTTTAATATTATTGTGGAAACTTTCACATTCTTAAATGACAAGAAAGTTCAAAATAATAATATTTATTAAAGAAATATATATCTTTATTATCATTATCACTTTTAAAATCACTTTTGATCTAATTCAAACTTTAAACCTTTTAAAAATGTTAAAGTAATCATAATAATCATAGTAATTGTGTTCAATAATCATAAAAACTGTATCTTGAGCCTTAAAATCAGCATGGTATAATGATTTTTGAAGGATCACGACACTAAATACTGGAATAAAGATTTATAAAATTCACATTAGTTATAAAATATAGCAAAATAAAAAAACTAGTAAATTAAAATATTTCACAAATTTTATTAAGTTTAATAAGACAATGCTGTAAAACAATAATATTTACATTTTATAATATTTAAAATATTAATAATTACTTATTTTAAATGTCGTAATTTTGGATTTATTTAAAAATTAAGAGACATTAAGAATAATTAAAAATCATAATTATTCCACAGCAGTCTATATAAGTAAATACCACAATGCTGGTGATATAAAATAACAACACCTTTACGCTCACATCCCAGAATTCAGTAATCTTTCAGTGTATAATAATGATGCAAAGCTTCTGTTTGGGTTCAGTGTCGATGGGTGTGGGATTATATTAGACCTGTTTGGATAAAAAAAGCTTGTTATGGCAGAATTAAACTAATCCTTTCAGCAGATCAGGGCAGCATGACTGACGGAAATAAGGTGGAAGTGGAGCTTTGATTCTCGGCGGCGCAGGGGAGATGATGCTATTTTGGGGATCTCAGAGGGAGATCTGAAGGGTGCTGGCAGTTTTTTTGATGTCAAACAAGACAAATTAAAATATACACAACACTTGGCTAAAAATAGAAGTGTCAGATTTACTGAAGTAACACAGCTTGTTTTATGAATGGCATGTCGGGATGGAGTTCAGATGAGACACAATGCAGACAAAAGGCAGCTTTTACTTTCCACAGAGTTTACTACACCTCTGTACTATCAGCAGGATCTCTCAGTAAACGAAAGATGCTTTTACAGACATGTTATTTAATAAGAAAAATCATTTAACTGCTGAGGACAAAACTGCAAATTCATATTGGAAATGAAATATTTTTAATAAAGCAAGGAAATTTTTTACAGTAGCCTATGTCTGATAGTATTTTTTCTTCAGAAGAAAGTCTTATTAGTTTTATTGTGGCTAAAATAAAAGCAGTTTTTAAGTTTTTAAAAAAGCATTTTAAAGTCAAAATTATTAGCTCCTTTAAGCTATATATTTTTCGATAGTCTACAGAACAAATCATCGTTATACAATTATCCTAACCTGCCTAGTTAACCTAATTAACCAAGTTAAGCCTTTAAATGTCACTTTAAGCTGTATAGAAGTGTCTTGTAAAATATCTAGTCAAATAATATTTACTGTCATCAAGGCAAAGATAAAATAAATCAGTTATTAGAAATGAGTTATTAAAACTATTATGATTAGAAATGTGTTGAAAAAGTCTCTCTGTTAAACAGAAATTGGGGGAAAAATAAACAGGTGGCTAATAATTCAGGGGGTTTAATAATTCTAACTTCAACTGTATATATTTATATGGGCGAAAGCGTGGCGCAGTGGCTAGCACAATCGCCTTACAGCAAGAAGGTTGCTGGTTCGAGCTTCGGCTGAGTCAGTTGGCATTTCTGTGTGGAGTTTGCATGTTCTCCCTGTGTTCGTGGGGGTTTCCTTTAGGTGCTACGTTTTCCCCCACAGTCCAAAGACATGTGGTACAGGTGAATGTGTGTTCGTGTATGTGTGTGAATGAGTGTGCATGGATGTTTCCCAGTGATGGGTTGCAGCTGGAAGGGCATCTGCTGCGTAAAACATATGCTGGATAATTTGGCAAGTTATTCCATGTTCGCGGCCACAGATTAATAAAGGCAAAAGGAACACGGGGAGAGCCAAAAGGAAACGAATGAATATATATATATATATATATATATCAATAGGCAAAGGTTCTACATCAATGTGTGACTTTTATTATCATTATTTAATGCATAATTTATTGACACTTTTTTGACAATTACACTTCTTTGTGCTTTAGCTCAAGATGCTAACTTCAAATCAGATACCACATGGCATGTCTAAAACAGAATTTTCTGTATTTTGTTATGTTATAGTTTACAAAAAAAATCTATGAGAAATTTACTGCATTATCACAATAACTGAGTTGACAAATAATTAATTTACTACTAGTGTGTGCTAATATATGCATGTTTACAGTGAAGATCACTGAAGATCACAATCCAAAAATTAATACACCCAAATGAATATGTTGGGGGGAAATATCTAATTGGATTTTAATATACAAGAGAAATCAAGAGAATCATAAACAGGGTTTATGCAGGTTTCACCAAGTAAAATTTTTAAGACATTCTCAAGACCATTATGAATTAAAATTTAGATTCATAAAGTATAATTAATTTACATTTAATAATATGATAATAAATAAATAATAAAAAAGCAAAATTTTTAGATAGTTCTTTGCTATTTTTTTAAAAGATTGTGTAAAATCATGCAAGCTAGTCCGACGCGATGGCGCAGTAGGTAGTGCTGTCGCCTCACAGCAAGAAGGTCGCTGGTTCGAGCCTCGACTGGCTCAGTTGGTGCTTCTGTGTGGAGTTTGCATATTCTCCCCGTGTTCGCGTGGGTTTCGTCCGGGTGTTCAGGTTTCCCCCACAAGTCCAAAGACATGCGCTACAGGTGAATTGGGTAAGCTAAATTATATTTGTGAGTGAATGAGTGTGTATGGATCTTTTCCAGTGATGGGTTACAGCTGGAAGGGCATCCGCTGCGTAAAAACATGTGCTGGATTAGTTGGTGGTTCATTCCACTGTGCAAGCTCAAAATAATAAAGGGACTAAGCCGAAAAGAAAATGAATGAATGATCAAGCAAGCTCTAGTTGTGTCTATACATGAACAAAGGAAAATTAAGAACTGTTTAAAAAAGATTTAAGACCTACAAAACAATAATTGAGTAAATTTAAAGACTTATTAGGGCCTAAAACTTTAATTTTGACATTTAAGACATTTTTAAACTTTTTAAGACCCCGCAGATTTTTATTTTTTTTATATTTAATTTAGAATGTAGAATGATGCTCAAATTTAGATGAAATTTTGTAGCTTCTATATATTTTTGCAATAACTCATATGAATTAAAATGCATTTTATTTCTATTTCTAAAAGCGTTAGGGGACCAAACTGCTATTTTAACTGTTTAATAAAGCAATTTTGTTTAAATTTACCAAAACATCTTGTTAAACTCACTAAGAAATGGATAAAAATATAGATTTTCAAAAGGGGGTGTACTCATTTATACTGAACTACATATATTGCTGTATATACATGAATATACATATTTACATATGTCTCTACATATTAAAATGATTTATAAAATAAAAAACCTTATGAGCTTTCCAGACAGAAACCTCCAGCCCATGCAACACATAAACAAGCGGACTCTAATCAATATTTATTTGTTTGCATCATGCAGCAAATTATTACTAGGACAACTGCAACCTACTATTAGAGGACCATTGCTTTAGAAAGCCTGTAATACATACATGCTTCAGGTTTTTTGGGGGGTGGGGGGTGGGGGGGGGGGGGGGGGTTCACTCCTCACAGCAGTGTCAGCATGCAGCATGTCTAATCAGTGTTGCTCGTGAAAACCAAGCATATAAATATTGCCATCTCACACCCAGCAGACCTCCCAGTGCCCCAGGGGCCCCTGGCACGTCTCGGATCAAGCATGGCACTGGGCTCTTTTGACTTTGGCAAGTGGTCTGAAGGACTGGGGGGCTCCCAGGGGCCCAGATCTAATGTGTTTTGAACCAACGAGCGCCATATTCTGGAGAAAATCCGCCAGTGTAGTTGGTTTTGCGCTTGACTGAGCTTGCAGTAAGATTGCATTTTTATTTCTCGCGAATAACGGGTTGGATTCAGTAGTTTCACGTATTAATGACTGAAAGTGCCATTGGTTTGAGGAGAGGAGCCAGCAGAGGCAGAGCAGCCCGTGTGCGCAGCCCATGTGCGCGGTGTGGAGCAGCGAGTGTCCGCGTCCGTCCGTCCGAGCGTTTGCTGAGTCAGGAGGCAGTGGCACCACCGCTCGCTCGGGTCTTTCTTGTTTTCCTAGCTATTCTTATCTCGTTGACCCATGAGCTTTGACGTTTTGTTCAAGTGACGTCTGGTTTTAGCGCTCGGATCGTGCCATGCGTCCCGGGAAGCACCGGATCCCTGTTTTTTCGCAGGAGTATGAACTTGTTCCCTCTAGCGCAGGATCCGCTGGATCTTTTCCGCCTGGATGTGTGTGTTTACAGACGGATCGCTGCGCACCTGACACTCTTTGACTTCCACGGCGCGTGTTTAATGAATGAACCGCTGGCTTTTTTCTCATCGAGCTGAGGGATTGTACCGTGTCCGACCTTCATTGCGGAAAAACAGCCGGAGACTGATGTGAAAGCCCGCCGCTGAAGTACGTGCTCCGCGAGCCTTGATCCAGCGCGCGGCTGTTGTGATCATGTAAGTGGGCATTTGATCCTTGCTTTGGCATGTCTGGAGGAGCCCCGATAGCGCAAAACAATCGACAGTTATGCTACAGTACCACTATATTATTATCAGTGCACTATACCAGTTATGTGCATAGGATGCGTGTGCAATAATAACAAGAGCCGTTACATGTGTTATATAGAAAATGATAGAACATTTGATTTATATGTGTGATTTATGTGCCTATAATGTGAATATATGCACTTAAATAGGATAGGCTGACGTGCAGTTTGCATTCGTAAATATAGGCTTTTATAGAGAGAGACTTATAAAGCAGGAGCTCTGAATGCTATCATATATGTTATTATTACATTTTGTCCTGGGACCTGCATATGTTAGTCATGCCCCCTGTCTACTACCCTGCAACTCATACAATTTTTTTTAATAAATTGTGTAATTTTTAACTATTTTTAAAGTAAAACAGCATTTACATATGATAATAAACTGTTATATATCCTAATTGCAGTCACAGATTTGTCAAGTTTGGTTCTTTAGTGGAAATGGAAGGTATAGACATTTAGGTTTTGTTGTTATAAATAATAGACAAAAATATATATATTTAACTTTCGTTTAAAATATGTATTTTCAAAAAATGTTTTTTTTTCTTTCTGGAAGTTTGTTTTGCTGGAAGAATAAAAAAAAAAAAGCATGTTTACACCATAGGAAATCAAAACAATTTCTGAGTCTGAAATTGCCTACTACTCAGTAGGCTGCGTCCGCATACTTCTAAACTATATAATATGTTGAAATCAGTATGCGAGCCGAGTAGTATGTCCGAATTCACGGAATTCGAAAATCAGTATGCGTGAAGTACCTGGATGACACTACCGGCGAGAATCTGAAGTGCACATTCCATGCACGCTGCGCTAAAATAGAACTCAGACGTACTACAGCCAACATTTTGTCATTATCACATGACCTACCCACATCAGTTGCGTTGCTTCACTCCCGTCTATCAGATTCGCACTTCAGAATCTCATCGGAAATAGTAGGTCATCAGGGTATTCCTCACATATTGTTTTTCGAATTCTATGAATTTGGACATGCTACTTGGCTTGCATACTGTTTTTAGCACACTATATAGTATGGAAGTATGCGATTTCGGATGCATTACTTGTGTAAACGAATTTTTTCAAATTCAAAATTTTTTACATGTAAATTTCAATCAAAATATCTTTGAAACAAAAAAGCATTCAGTAAGATTTTATTTGGGTGCAGTACCAAACATTTCCACTATACTGTATACTTATATTTCCCAATTGAAATCAATGCAGTCAATTTTAACAATAAGGAGATTATTAGTTAAGTTAGTTACCTAGTTTTGTACCATTCAGACATGCGTTTCCCAAGCAATAATGTAACCTGCGACTGAACTACCAAAGTATGATGCATCGTTTGGAAAAAAAGAACTATATTGACGAGTGTTTCCCAAAACCATAGTTGCTTTGTCGCAGATGCATCATTTGAACCATGTTAGTTACAATGTAAAACGAAACGGAGTGGAGTAACAACTTCTTTAAAGACAAACCCCATATTTTTGTGTAAATTGTATTGTTTTACACGCACACACATTTTATTCATTTATTTTATTCCAATATTAGGTTAGTTTTGGTAAAAACATGCACTCGTTTTCCATATTTATTGAAATTAATAATTTTTATTTATTATTAAGTAGGATATTGTTTCTTTATTAAATTTTTTTTTTAAAGTCTACTTTTACAACTTTGACTATTCAAACCACCGCAGAAATGCTCTAACCATGAGGCGCTTGTCATATACAGTAGGCTGCAGATTTCTTAATAAATAACCTACTATAAATGAAGACCATTAACGTATGCTCTATATTTTGTTTTCACTTTAGAGGTGTAACGTAAACTCCACTTTTAACAAATAGGTCACCTATAGCTTTCGTCATCTGTGTTCAAAATGGCATAAATGTTTTCAAACTGCACTACGAAGGGAACACAATTGTCAGTATGAAGATCGCTAAAACTGAACGGAAAAATACTTTGAAATCAAATGACATGTAAGAGAGATGACTTTAGGGGTTTTTCAATCATTTCGAAGTTAAATGTAGGAATGTTCTAAACGAATAGAGCATGGGGGGATAACTGGAAATAGAACACAACCAACTATCCTTGTAACTACAACCCTAGAGGTGTAGTTTGCGACACATTTGCGAATGTTTGTTGGAACAATGCATTTGGGAAATGCCAAATCAAAAAAACTATGTTTGTAACAAAGGAACTAGCGAGCTTAGTTGGCTAATGATGGTTTTGGCTAAAGTTTTTTTGGAAACAAATCCCAGATGGGGAAAAAAATCAACCTAAACTTACGAGGAAATGTAACTCTTTTACATAGTATCAGAAAAGTGGCTAATTCCTACTAATTCATATAATTTCGTTTATATTAAAATATATAATTTTATAAAGAGGCGATTCCCCAAACCTCACCCCTAATCCTCTGGACAATTAACAGACTTTACTAAATTGTGTTGATTGTACTAGATTGTGTTGTGTTGTGGATCAAAAATCACTGAAGAGCAACACTTGTTTAATGGGGTATATGCCGAAGCATGCTAATAGGACTTTTAATTTGCCAGTAACCTGGGTTAAGCGCTTCCGGCCAATGCAATGCCAATGCAAAATCCGGTGCGTTTAAGGTCTGTTTGCTTTAAAAATCAGCGATCTCCACTGGCTGAGTGATATCCGATTTAAAGTGGGTCTCAGATTGTACAAGAAGCACTGCAATAAATTACATTTCCCCTGCCATGTCTTTATAATATGAGCATTTATTTTACCCCATTATATTCAATGGAGCTTCTGCATTAGCCTGCCGATTCTGACGGGCGTGTGCGAGTAAACAGCTTTTTGTCTCGTTTTACGCTTGAGCAACCAAATAAATGCTAAAGTTTATTTAACTGAATGTATTTTAATGACATTAACTAATCAATGCTGTATAAGGAACCGTATAAAATGGAAAAAAGTTCACAATAACAGGTCGCCGGAAGTGTATCAGCATGGGAACAGCACTAGCTCGGCATATACCCTATACGCATGCGAGCTGTGACTGAATGCCCATAACGAACAGTTGGGTTTAAACTCTAAAAGCCTTTTCAAATGTCCTGCAGGTCTGTCCACATAGTGGCCTTGGGTAGTGAGTGTCCTGGGGGTGTCGGGCCTGGGGATGAGACGACCAGCTCAGGACAGATTCAAGGCGGTCTGTTGTGGAGTTACCTGGGCCACGGTGCTCGAGAACTAGATCCAAACTCCATGACACCATCAAGGCATCCCTTAAACCCTGCATTTATGGAGTACCAGTCAAGAGTAATGGGGGACGTCAGAGTGATGGTGCGGGATTGTCCCAGCTGGGTGAGTAGCAGAGTGAATGACAGTGGGATGATGGGATTCAAAAGCAGGATTAGGGTTTCTGCAGACTCCGGGAAGAGAGTTGTTTCCAGCTGATTGGAGAACTAAGAGGAGTTTAGAGGAAGGCAGTGATATTTGTAAGCTGATTGGTGGAGCAGATGCTAAGCTACTGAGATATGTCTGCTTAAAGAGGTCATGACATGAGAAATTGTAAATTGGATTGATCTGACATTTGAGTGGTTTTTGTTACGTTAAAACATTGTGCATGGTTTAATATTCGTCTTCCTTGCTATGAAAAAGCTTTTATTTAATGTAGCTTTAACAATTAATAATTTGCCAATGAGGTGGTATGTGTTGATCCCGCCTCCCTAGCATAGACTCCACCCAATTACATTCAGCCAGTTACCTGTTGCAAGGATCAAAAATCAGAGGTTGGGAAATATCAGCGAGGGGTTGATGGGGGGAGGGGTTAGAGGAATGTTAAGATTGGGGGGTTGGATTGGGATGGTTCGCGAAGTAAAGAGAGCGGGGGGCGGGGGGGGGGAGGGGGGGGGGGTGGTGCAGTATGGCCCCTAATAGTAAAGGCTGATTTATACTTCTGCGTCAAACGCCGGCGTATGCTACGGCGCTGACGCATAGCCCTTCGCCGTGGCCATCGCCGTCGCTGACGTGCACCTCTCAAAAAATGTAACTACACGTCGCAACGACGCGTAGCGTAAGCTCTGTGATTGGTCGGCTTGGTAGCGCTGACGAGTCTGGGCGGGACCGAGAGCCGCGCGAATGGCACGACGCCGCGCGAGCGATTGTTTACAAGTGTGGAGTATCGTGAAGGAGCTCCGGATGGAAAGTTTTGTTTTGTGTTTACCTCATAGTTAAAGTTGTTGCACGTCCGCCGGTTCCTGCCTCAAAATGAGCGAGTTTGAGCCACTTGTACATCCCGTAAGTGTTCAGGAAATGCAAAAAAGTAGCGAAGAAACTTGACACAGAGGAACATTTACACCTCACTGCCAACTAGCGTTTCGGAAGTGTTAATGCAGACCGACAGAGACAGCGCGCAGAAGTATAAATGCACAGCCACGCGCGTTGCCTGCGCCGTGGGTTACGCCGGTCACCTGACGCAGAAGTATAAATCAGGCTTAACTCTGGGGGCTTCAGATGTGCGTGGGCCCTTATATTCATCTAAACTGGATACAGGCATGGTGTAATTGAGATATTGCAAAGAATTTTGTTGTTAGGCAAAGCCTTCAATTATACTCAATTATTCAATTACTACCTAACAGCTGAATCCTTGAATGTACAAGTTATTACTTTCATAATACTTTGTCTGTAAATGGCAATTTTACAAGGATAATGCTGTCAAACACTTATTGGTATACAACACTATGCAATATGTGATGACTTTAGCCAATAAAAACATTGACATTTTACTGACCTAAATATTTTGTATAGGATCTGCCCCTTAAAATCAGGCCAAGAAGGCTGAAAATAATGCATTTTTTCCTGCATATATATTTGTTTATTTAATGTAAAAACATTTATTAACATTATACATAAGCCTAAAGGAACATGTAAAATTAGTATAAAAAATCCATGTCATGACCACTTTAAACATGACAGGTCATTTGATCCTCCGTTTTAATCACAGGACATTTTGGACAGTGACTGGGTGAGCGTGAGGAGCATTCTGGAGCAGGCTGACATCGTGGTCATTAAATACTCGGTAAACGACAAACTGGCCTTTCAGCAGGTCCGAAACGGCTACGCCCCAAGACTTCGACCTCTTCTCCGGCATTGGGGTGTTCCTGTGATTCTGGTAGCGGTGGGGGCGAGGCTTAACGGTGAGACACAATTGGCTGTTTTCCTATATATTTAGTGCTCAGTTAAATGAACACCCCACTGTTTGTTTGGAAATAGGCTCATTTTACAATTCCCCATACAGTTTAACAGTTGAGTTTTACCATTTTTAAATCCATTCAGCCATTATCCGATTCTGGAGATAACACTTTTAGTTTAGCATAAATCATTGAATTAGATTAGATCATTAGCATCTCGCTCAAAAATAATAAAGAAAAAGGATCTCAATAATTTTCCTATTTAAAGCTTAGCTCTTCCGTAGTTACATAATGCACTAAGAATGCTATATCCTAGCTGAAAGTGCTTCCGTCAGACCCAGAGATTGACTGAATGAATTCAAAAACAGTAAAACTCAGTCTATAGGCTTTGTAAAATGAGTGCAAAAAAGTGGAGTGTTCCTTTTGAGACATTTTTCTTGATTTCGAAAATGTTAAGTCAAACTAAATGACAGTCAGCCTTTTTTTCCAGTGCAGACGTGCGAGATAATGGACTTAATGGAAACAATTTAACTAAACTCTGGTTAAAAATTGCCTTATGGAATGTCAGCTTAATTACTGTAGGCATAAATGTCAAGACGATAAGGATTATGCAGGATTTAATCTTACTTACCTTATGTCAATCAAAGTATTAGACAGCAAAATTGACTTACAATGACAAAAGCCATTGAAATGAATGAAGCGTATTGCAGCACTACTGTGGTTTTGAACTGGTTAACCATTACTGATCTTCAGAAGCAACACAGCAAATATGTGAGGCTTCTGACTTCAAGGAAAAGGGAAAAGTGTGATCGAGCTGAGATTTGAGCTCTTTTGATGTGCTGAGCGCGGCTGTGCCGTGAGCGTTTGTTGAATATGCTCATAGGTAAACATTTATAGACTCAAAGCACTTAGACCACAGATTTGGCTTCATACCTTGTAAAAGTAGCGGCTCTCTGCTCACTGCGTGACCTCCGAGATGTATAATTCATCAAGATGTGATTCCATCCAGCTGTATCCCTCAAGAATAATGGAGAAAATGAACACCATGGGTTTGTTTCACAGCAGCGAAAGCATCCCGTGTAGTGCAGGGTTTCAGAAACTGGGGTTCTGATAATTAACAGAGAGTAAAAGTATGAGATCAAAAGGGTTATGTTGAAAACATTTTTTTTAAACAGTTTTGCTTTTCGTGAAGTTTATTTATACATAATTTCGAGAGGATCACATGCTTATGATTGACCACAGCTGGTCCCACATTAGCTAACACACGATTCACCAATCAGATGATCCCTAACTCACCATAAATAACCAGAGTTTCTTACCTCAGTTATTTTCGTCTTGAAGAATCCCCCCATCCACCCCCTCCTTCCCCCCCTTTTCTCCTCAACAGCAGCCCAGTGGTTAGCACTGTTGCCCAACAACAAGAATGTCACTGGTTCAAGTCCTTTCCAGGCTAGTCAATGTTTCTCTGCGAAGCCTACATGTTCTCCCCATGCTTGCATGGGTTTCCTCCGACCGTCCAAAGACATGCTACATAAGTAAATCGACTAAACCAAATTGGCACTATAGATTGGCTCCTAGCCAGCAGTATATCTTCCCATAGCAATTCCTAATTAATCATTAGCCATAAACAGCAGGAGAGTTCTTGAGATCTACCTAAGCTCAAACTCCCTTCTCGCCCTGCAACAGCTCGAAGCCCCAGGCTCAAAGATCTTATGATCAGCTAAGTGTGAACTCTTGAAATTTGCAAATAAATGTTATTAATAATGTAATTAATAACTGCCCATGCAAAATTGCCCCAAAAATGAATATTCTGTAATCATTTGTTTACTCATCTTAGTCCAAAACTTAATTTTTTTCAATGTAGGTGCATATACAGTACATGAACCCAAATGATTAGTTTATTCAACAGAATTTCATTTAATTCGAAAAAATTTATCTTAAAACACTTTTAATCTCAATACCTGCACTTTGATTCACATATTTACATGTTTATGTCATAAGAACTTGTGGACATTTCTTTATATCTCACCGTCTCACGTCTTAAGCACTGGTCAGTGGATCAGTCTGAATTTATTTGCAAAACCAAAAACAACACCAACAAATCAAACTTAGTTTACATGTAAAAGTTCCAACTGCAACAAATAGCAACAAATAGAACTTTTAGTATCTGATATCCTACTTTAAATCAGAATCTGACAATATATTTTGCTGAATACAAAGTCAAATCTTTGGAAAAGGCTTTTTCACACTGTGTTTAACCACTAGGTCTGCTCTAAACACTGCATTTAACCCCAAGTAAAGGAAAGTGTCACCCTTGTAATTTAAAAGCGGGGTTATCACAGCTTTTATACGAAGAGGACTCTTGCTCCAGAAAAGGCTTGGCACCGCTTTTGTGTTGTTAACCCTGCATTGTAGTGCCAAATACTGTATGTGCGATGTAAAAATAAACAACCGACAACCAATCAGTTAAAAAAAAACAAGATATTTTGAAGAAAGCTGGAATCCTGTAACCATTGACCTCCATGGCATTGTTTTTCCTACTATGGAAGTTAATGGTTACAGGCTTTCAGCTTTTTTCAATATGTATTCTTTTGTTTACAACACAAGAAAAAAAAACTTAGGTTTATAACTGCCTCAGGGTGAGTAAATCTTTAATTTTGGGTGAACTATCCTTTTAAGCATAATTATAAATATAAAGGAGTTAACGTTTATACGGTAGCTCAGTGATTAGCACTGTCACCTCACAGCAAGAAGATCGCTGTTTTAAGTCTTGGCACAGACCAAAGACATGGTTTCCCCCCTCAGTCCCAAGGCCATGCGCTATAGGTGTATTGAATAAACTAAATTGGTGGTAGTGTATATGTGTGAATGAGTGTGGATGTTTACCAGTACTAGGCTGCAGCTGGAAGGGAATCCGCTGAGTAAAACATATGCTGGATAAGTTGGTGGTTCATTCCGCTGTGGCAACCCGTGATAAATAAAGGGACTAAGCCGAAGGAAATTGAATGAGTGAAGGAGTTAACGTGGACTTAGGAATATACAGTGTTAACGTCAGCATATGAATTATTCCAAGGATTAAATGTTAACTTTTGGTAAATTATAAGCAAGATACACCAGGATTCTGTTTACTCTTCTGTTTAGAATAACCAAGAATATTTCAAAATCTCTGATCTAAAAAACAAAACAGAGGGTTCAAAGTCATCAGAACCCTAATGAATTAAAAAAATCCTCTACTGCATTTGCATTTGGTTCGGTTCCAAACCAACAAGTTTTGCCTTATGTTGAGCACAAAAAAATATTTAAAAGGTTCTTTGAAACCTGTAACTAGGGTGCGAATTACAGGGGAGGTAGGGAGGGATGCTTGATCCTCCCTGAAGGATGTCAAAACAACATGTATGGGGGGGGTCAGCCCTTTAAATAGTGAGAAATAGTTAGCTCTGATCTGTATTTTAAATACTAATACTACTAATTAAAATAATACATAATATAAATATACATTTGACCACCCCTCTAATGGATTATACCATTGTGAATTCATAATTGCGACACTTTTCTTGTAAAATAGGTGTTTGTTTGTACATATAGCCTAAAGGTAATGTAAAATTAGATGCAATCAGATGATGTGCTCCATTGGCACATAACCTTAAAATTATTTTGTAGTGTATGCTGTGCCGTGGTTTTCATATCTTGCAGTGTGCGCACGTTTAAAATTTGAGGTAATAACATTGCCATGATGGTCAGAGACATCGAAACATGCTTTTCACCCCAACCCAATTTAATAGGGCACTATAAAGGCTAACGAACTTAAATCTTATATTTGCTTAATTTTTGCAGTCTCAAAGCATGTTTATAACTAAGAAAACAAAACAATATATATATATATATATATATATATATATATATATATATATATATATATATATATATATATATATATATATATATATATATATATATTATTTGAACATATCACATCACATAAGGTACACATACAGTACCGTCCTATCTAGTATTGTGAAAAGGCAAAGCTGAAAATATGTGGTTAAAGCGCCACCCATAGGTCAAAAACTGATGGTGCACCTACTACCTCCGCAGCGGCGGTAAGAACGGTGGCAGAAGGAACATATTGAAGTGATGACATCTGTAGTTTGTATAGTTTGACCTACAGTAACTTCTGAAATAGCTAATCAGAGTAGATCAGAATACACAAAAATAGCCCACAAAACACTGACAACTGAAATATATTTTGTTAATAAAACAGATGTCATTTGAATAAATAGATACATTTAATTCACTGAAGGATGTACTAGACAGAATAATATTACTCAAAAAGGTGACCCCCTGATCGTCAATGTAAGATTCGCACCCTGCCTGTAACCATTCACTTCCATAATAGGAAAAATACCAAGGAAGTAAATGGTTACAGATTATCAACACTCTTAAATATATCTTTTATTGTGTGCAACAGAACAATAAAACTCAAACTGATATGGAATAAGTAAAGGGTAAAAAAATGATGACAGAATTTTCATTTTTGGGTGAACTATCCCTTTAAAGGTATTGTATTTCTTTTTCAAAAATGAAGACAAAAACAAAACCATTCTTTCGAAGTTATCAGACCCCTACTGAATTTTAAAAATCCTCTACTGCATTTGCATTTGCTTTCCACACAAGTGGGCTATGCCTTTAGGAATAACACTAAGGGGGCTGTTTATTGCTGAAACTCCTAAGTATGACCAAAAGCAATAGTGATGCTATAATGAATTCATAGCCATGATAATCACGCTGTGTTTCTCATTAGCTGGCCGTGGAGAGACCCAAGGCAAAATGAGAGTGTAAACATGGCCAAAACATGCTTACACATACTCGTACAGTACATTGTTTTTATCCATTTCTCCAGGCTTTTTCTTTTATTGGCTACTCTGATTCATACCACTTCGTGCCCGAGTCCTCCTCACGTCTTTTTCTTCCACTCTCACTCCATCCATCTCTGCCTCCATTTAGCTGTCTTTTCTTGCTATCATTTCACTTGCTCTTCTGCTCCCCGAGGCATTCGCCCTACTGGCCGGCCAATTCCTGCACACACACATACACAAAACACACACATTGTTTTTACCCAGCTATCCCTGCTCTCTAATTCTGTCACTGCCACTCTCTCTTCGCCCGTCTGCACACAAACATACTGATGTTTAAATTTACGCTGGTATAAACTTGAGCTGGCATGTGTTGTTACGTAATAAAGACTCAGATTCCATCGCTCCATATGTCTGCCTGTTGACAACACCTGGAATGTTATGTACGCTGTCAGTACAAGTGGTAATGTTTGCATGCTTTATTCGGCCGATTGCTCTACAAATGTCATTTGTGCTGTGCATCAGTAATAGATTTGCATGTGCTGTGAAATGTTTAGAAACATAGCAACCAGCTTTGGGCCCTGTTTACACGAAAACATTTTAGTTTTAAAACAGCGTTTTAGAATGAAAATGATCCTTGTCTACACCGGCGTTTCACATAGCATTTCTGAAAAAAATCTCCGTCCACACTATAACGCTAAAAACGCACATCATGTGATCATACACACACTCTGGCATGCACTGCAGAGTGTACTGAAGTCTGAGCTCCATGCAGTCAGCGGGTGCTTTGAGCACACCTCCCCAGATGAGAGCAGCGTACTTCAGACAGTTCATCAAGGATATACAGCTAGATCTAATCTCACTGTAGTTGTTAAACATGATAAATACTTCATCTTGTGTCTATCTACGACTCTTTGGTCTTTTGAATCTATTACTTGTTCTCAGGTAAAGTGTTTTGGCTGAGAGCAGATAAGTTAATATATTAATTTATGTATTATATATTAAGTATATTTGACTGATTGCTTGCCTATATTTCCAATATTGTATAAACTTATTGTTTGTTATACTTTTATAATGACCATTATTGATTATTAAAACTGATATTCAGCAAAAGAGAGGGTATGTTTCGTATTTTTCAATGAAAATGAAAGGAGGCAGTTATGTTGTAGGCTGTTTTATTATAAATATGCATATAGTGAAGATGACGGTCATATAAGTATATTGCTACATGATGCCTCAACATTTTTGCAAATGAAAAAAGACAGTTTTCATTTTATTGTTAAGATTTATCTGCCGTGTCCTTGGGAGTTTGTTTTCCATATCAAACTTCGAAGTCTGAACTTACAAGCAAAGAATGCAAGACTGAACTTTGTGCGCTTAATATTGAGGAAAAGCCCCAATCAAATAGGCAAATGTCGGCAGCCATGCCTCTGTTTTCAGATGTCTCAATTTTCCCCATCCACACTCAAACAGCAGTGATTTAAAACCAAAACGGCCTCTTCAGCGTTTTTTAAAATTTACCAATTTTTGGGGAAAGAAAAATTCCAGGGTATTGTGGACGGAAAGCAAAACCATCGCAAAACTTACGCGTTTTAAAACTAAAACATTAGTGTAAACATGGCCTCAGTTTACTCAAGTTATGGAAATATTAAGTGTTAAAATTGGCAGTATAGAGTATTATAAGTTCTTTAAACTCTTTACCTTTAGATCTGTATCCAATCAGCTTGCATTTTAAGTTAATATGAGCATTAATAGCGTCTTATAATGCCTCTTACAATAATTGTGACTAAAACAAAACAAAAATACAATACAATACAAACAGAAATTCTACACCAGGTAAATCAGCTATTATTTCTGAAAAACAAATATTAATGTCTTCATAATACCCCATGCTTTAGCCAAAAATACTAATTCCTTTTCACATGTCGTTACACTATCAGGGGATTAAAAAAAACATTACCATCTCCTGATGACCGCCAAGTCACGGGCTGAGTGATTTCTTTTTTTTTTTTCTTGCCAAAAACCACGTAATTGTTGTGCAATAAAATACGGGGTCGACGAGAGAGACTTCTGAGCTGTGCTTCTACAGGAAAAATAGCCAGAAAGGAGGAAATTTATGGATTTGTGCCGAATGTTAGCCTCATTGACCCATAACAAGCTAGGTACCTATAACTGTCAGTACGTTGATGTGCTTTTTATACCGTTTCTAATCAAATATGAAGTTTAAGTGCAATTAAAGTGTAGGTTGAAACACAAAGTCAGAGTATAAACAGCAAAAGTGAATGAATGCAAGTTTTCCAACCAGAAAATATGAATCTAAGCAAAACAAACCAACACCAAATATAAAAGCAGACACTTACAAACAATAACGCCGTCACTAATGACTTAATCTCGAAGGAATATCCAATAAAAAATCATTAAAAAAAATCATAAAAAAAAAAAAATCATCAAACTGCATCTTTGATTGGGCCAGCTTGGATTGCAGCATATGGATCGCGAGTGGCCAAAATTTAGAGTTTGTGAACATATCTCTGTTTTGTTTTGTTAATTTGTGAGCAAAATATTCGTTGCTTGAAACAGATGGAAAATAACCGGTTTGTGGTGTATTTCTGTGGAGATCCCAATGTAGCTGCCATTACACCCCGTTGTTTTTTGCCCGCCAATCTCTGCACTGGTCATGTGACTGAAATCAGTTAAAGTGCACCAATAGATAAAAAACTTTGCTACTAAATAATAAATTCTTTAATACTGTATGCAATGTAATTTTTGTCTACAATTACTAGTTAATTCATCATATATATATACACACACATTATATAATTTTATATATATATATATATATATTCAATTCAATTCAATTCAGCTTTATTTGTATAGCGCTTTTACAATGTAGATTGTGTCAAAGCAGCTTCACACAAATGGTCATAGTAACTGGAACAGTGTGGTTCAGGTTCTAGTGTTTAAGTTCAGTTCAGTTCAGTTTAGCTCCGTTCAGTGTGATCCAATCATCACCGAGAGTTCAAACACTGAAGAGCAAATTCATCGATGCGTAGCTCTACCAATCCTGAACCATGCGAGGCAGTGGCGACAGCGGAGAGGGAAAAAAAACTTCACCTGATGGGAGTGAAGAAAAAAAAACCTTGAGAGAAGCAGACTCAGTTGGGCACGACCATTTTAATTTCTCCGCTGGCCAAATATATATATATATATATATATATATATGTCATTATTGTTACGTACCCCTGTATACATTTCTGGACAGCGCGAAATACGTCCCAGGAGGTACATTTTTTGCAGTTTTTGTTATCACGAATACACCAGAGGCCGATGTCAGCCTACTAACTGACTGACTGACTGACCGACCTACCGACCAACAGACAACCCCTTCCCTAAACCCAATCAATAATGTTTTCAAAAGCACCGACTGACCAGCGACCACCCACTTCTCTAAACCCAACCGACAGTGTTTTCAAAACAAATCCAAAAAAAAGTCCTCGCGGTCGCCTGATTGTTATCACATTTTCAGATATTACCATGTTCTCACCCTGTTATTTATGTTACGTTATTTGTTTTACCAGTTTTCTGGAACCGTTCTTCACCGAACTCGAACCCCGTCATTGCAGTCAACCCCTCTTTGCATCTCAAGTCCGCCGACCTTTGTGGTGAGCTACTGGGCAAACTTGCAGCAGCTGAAAAGCCATCCATATGGTGGTCAGCGGTCAGCTGGTAGCGCGAAAAAAAAAAAAAGCCTTCAGCGGCGTCATACCGACCTGTAGCATTCGTTTTTAAGGCTAAATGCAGCCATACGTAGCTCTGGCTACATAATTTGCACTCTCCAGAAATGTATACGGGGGTACGTTTTCACAATGAGCCTGTGTTGAAAATATCTGCAAAGGTTTAAAGATAGAGTGCATGATAAATAGAAATTGAACGAAAGAACCAATTATAAACTGCGTTAAAAAGTTCTCAGTAATTGCTGCTTGATGTTGTTATTCATTGTACTTTACAAGTATTGAAATTCAGATGTGTTATGAGCATTTTGTTTCTGACCAATCACAACACACTGGCAACTGGACCAATCAGAGCAGAGCGGTCTCTCGGAAAGGAGGGGTTTAGAGACCAGAGTAAACCATTTCAGACACATTGTGAAAAAAAGCTGACGCTGCAGTGTAAAGTGGGAGACATTTGTAATATTTAAAGGGATAGTTCATCCAAAAATGAAAACTCTGCCATCATTTACTTACCCAAACTTACTTATAAAGTCTTTTTCTCCTGTTGACCACAAAAGAAGATATTTTGAAGATTGTTTGAAACCTGTAACCATAACCATTCACTTCCATAGTAGGACAAATACCAAGGAAGTAAATGGTTACAGATTTCCAACATTGTTAAATATATCATCTGTTGTGTTCAACTCAAACTGGCATCGAATAAGTAAAGGATGAGTAAATGATTTTCATTTTTAGGCGAACAATCCCTTTAAAGCTATTGCAGAAGACTTCCCAATCAATCCTTAAAAATTGCAAAATGAAGACTTTCAAAATGGAGTTCATCAAACTTGTTACAGTGCATATGACATATTTATTTTTCATCCTCCACAGATGAAGGTCCGCCGTGCACATGTCCTCTGTGTGCGTCCGACTGGAGCAGCTGTGTGCCCCACAGCGAGGGGCTCCAGCTGTCCAGGGACCTCGGAGCTACGTACCTGGAGCTGCCCTCTCTAAACAATTTTTTTGTGGGTCGTTACTTCGGCAGTGTGGTACGTGTCTCTTTTTTCTCGTGATCACTGTTAAAAAGTCTCATTAGCATGCAGAACTGTACGTGCGGTTTAGCCGTTCCGTGCTGGTAACCATAAGGTTGGAGGTTCAGCCCCAGTAAGGGGTAATTTATAAACTCAGTGCCCGGGGTGAAACATAAAACCCATCCATCACCACTGAGACCTTCAGCCCTGGTGCTCCAGGGGGTTTTAACAAGTGTAATGTAAGTCATTCTGGATAAAAGCGCCTGCTAAACGGCTAATTAAAATATACATTTTCAGAGTGTGGAAGCTCTCTCGACGGTATCTGTCACATGCATTAAGGAAAGGAGGCAATAATTTTCCCACCCTCAAGCTTGTAAACACAAGTGTACAGAACTGCTCTAATAGTAGACGTTTATGTGGAGCATATTTTTAAGTTAGTGCAAGATTATAACAAGGCTCCCTTTGCTTTAAATCTCGCTACAGCTGGAATACTTCATGATTCAGTGTCTGAAGCAGAAAGCCAAAGAGCGGCCAGACAAAAGGCGGGGTCACCGTCTGAACGAGCCCCGCCCCCCTCATTTGGACCAGCCAGGTGAGTAGGCTTATGCCGGTATCAAATTTGAGATTATTTGCTTAAGCTTTTATCATAGTATATGACATAATCTTGCTATGTAACATATATCTGAGAAAATGTTTGTTTATATTTAGAAAATATGTATATGACATTCCTGTCAATATTGAGATGTAAAAATACAGGATAAATGATAGAATATTTAGCAAACATTAGAAATAAAATAAAAGATTTAGCCTATTAAAGGTTATAAAATCCTGTTCACCTTAATCAAATATTGATTAAACTTAGGCTACAATAGTTATTGAGTAAAGAGCAGCAAATCTCTCAGCGAATCTCTCATTGGTTGCAAAGGAAAGGCGATGGTCGACGCATAACTTTAATGGAAATGAAGTAATTTCTGGGTGAGGCAGTGGCGCAGTAGGTAGTGCTGTCGCCTCACAGCAAGAAGGTCGCTGGTTCGAACCTCAGTTCAGTTGGCGTTTCTGTGTGGAGTTTTCATGTTCTCCCTGCCTTGGTGTGGTTTTCCTCCGGGTGCTCCAGTTTCCCTCACAGTCCAAAGACATGTGGTGCAGGTGAATTGAGTAGGCTAAATTGTCCATAGTGTATGAGTGTGTGTGTGAATGAGTGTATGGATCTTTCCCAGAGATGGGTTGTGGCTGGATAGGCATCCGCTGCGTAAAAACTTGCTGGATAAGTTGGCGGTTCATTCCGCTGTGGCGATCCCGGATTAATAAAGGGACTAAGCCGACAAGAAAATGAATGAAGTAAATTTTTATATTATTTCAACGTGCTTTCAAGCCAAAACATAGCAAAAGCATAATTCTCTTGAACAGCTGTTGCAATTATATCACATTTGAGGTCGGCTCTTTGATGCTACTTTCACTGAAAGATCTTAAATACAGGAGAAATACAGCAAAATACTTAAATAGGATGATAGTGGTATAGGTTAACTATGGGATAATCCCAGTAAAAATGGGAGGGTTGACAGGTACAGTGCTCAGCATATATAAGTACACTCCTCACAAATCTATCTTTTAAATTCATATTTTTAATAGGAAGCTATACAATATTATATTTGTGCATATACATTAGATTAGTCAGTACTGAAGCCAAGTCTGGAGCTTATCTAACAAAACAACTTACGATAATGGTCCAAAAACTAGTACAGCCAAATTTTTATGTTATAGACAAATATTAAATACAAATTTAAAAAAGAAAAAAAAAATCAAGAGAAGCAAAAACATTGTGAATTTAGTTAAAATTTAGTAGGTTGTAATTTTTTTTTGTTGCAGTTTTTGCTTGAGTTTAATTGTATTATCCAATTTCTAAAAGTGTTTGGTAACTAAAATATTATTTTAATAAATATATCTGTTTAATAAATCTGTTTTGTTTAAATGCACCAAAATACATTGCCTGTATTCACTGAAAAATGGATAAAAATATTATTTTTAAAATGGGGTGTGCTTAATAATGCTGAGCACTGTAGGGGATACCAATTATACATACATTTAAATATCTACGTAACAAAATAGTTTTGTTTCTATCGCATACATAATAAATATATTTAATTCAAATCTCCTAAGATTAATAAAAGCTTTTGTACTTTTGTTATAATAATAAATAATTATTTAATAAATAATAATTATTCATTATTACAATATACTGTTGAAGTCGAATTTATTAACTATTATTAACTATTATTATTAATTATTTCTTTTTCAATATTGCCCAAATTATTTTTAACAGAGCAAGGACATTTTATAGTATTTCCTATATTTTATAGTATTTCCTATATTTTTTTCTTCTAGAGAAAGTCTTAATTTAAAAAGTATTAAAATTTTTAGTTTAAAAAAAATAATAATTTTATGGTCAATTTGATTTGCCTAATTACCCTAACTTGCCTAATTAACCTAGTTAAACCTTTAAGTGTGACTTTAAGCTGTATACTGGTATCTTGAAAAATATCTAGTAAAATATTATGTGCTGTCATCATGGCAAAGTAAAAGAAATCAGTTATCAAAAACTATTATGTTTAAAATTGTGTCATTCCATTTAACAGAAGCTGGGGAAAAATAAACAGGGGGGCTAATAATTCAGGAGGGCTTCTGACTTCAATTGTTTATTAAATGATTAAATATTGGCATATGTCTACAGGTGAGTAGCTCAGTTTTTATAAGTACGTTACAAGTCTAAGCTTTACATCAGAAGTAGATCTCCCTGCTTTATTAAAGATGACCCTTTAAACGTGCCTAATTTGGGCTAATCTCACTAATAATGACTTGCAATTTGCTGGACATCTTATCTGAATCTCTCCGAAGCACTCAGGCTGCACAATATGCACGAAATGGCAATATTCATCAGTAAGAGAGTCAATGGGCTCTTCTGCCATTTAGATAAAAGGATCGTCCGCTAAAGGCTAGTAGCATTCTGGACAAGATGAGCCTTTGCTACGAGCACCAACACTTAGAAAGAGAAGCCAAAGCTTTTTCTGTAGTTTGTTGGTGTGGCTCCAGCACCACTTAGGCTCTTTTTATAGAGCACAGGCTATAAAATATGAAGGGTATTGAACGCCGGGAAAGCGTCGGTGTGGCCTCAAATGAATGGTTATGGAGTGCATAAAAAAACGTACAGCAGTAATATATCAAAAATGTGCCTGTAATACAGACGTGATGTATAAACAACATCTGTTTGTTGTATTTCTTTTTTAATTCTTGGCCATAATAACAGCTTCCCATAATCCTCCTTGTTTCGGATTTGCTTTCTCGTCACTTTTCGTGTTGCTGCCATCTCGTATCCCTTACTCATGTGCTTGGCTTGTCTCATCATTCTCTTTTGCTACTTTTTTTCCACTAAATAATTCCTTACCCATCATCCTCCTCCTCCTCTGCTTGGCTCACATGTTTCTTCATTCACCTATGACTTATTATTTTTCTCTGGATCTTCTAGAAGTTCCTTAATCTCCTCCTGAAGGAAGCAATAATCTCAAATGAGGTCTTTTTGATATCGCTCTTCTTTCTCAGAGACAGCTGACATTAAATGGAGGTGTTCTGAGCGATAGTTAAACACATGTGAGAATAAACACTTTAAATATGGAATGAAAATCGATTATTAATTGTTCTGCAGTAATGCATTATTAAGCATGAACTGAGACATTAACGTCACTTAAGATTAATAAAAGATTTTGTACTTATAAATAATTATTCACTGTATTGTAAAGTGCCCACAATATCAATATTGTGTATGTTCTTTATCACCATATACAGCGGTCAAAATTTGAAGTGGATCAACTCCTTCAAACAAAATTGTCCTAAAACTATTTAATAACATCCATTCCTGAGCAACATCTTTGGATATGGAATGAAATGACTATACTGACCTATGAAAAAAGATGCTAGTAATCATTAAGTGAGGTTTTATAAACAAATTTTGAGAGGAGCATGCGCAGATGTTTTGACAAGGCCAATTCATTATTGACAATCATTCTGTTAAGCAATCAGCATAAGACCAAACTCCTCTAAATAGTCAAGCATGTCCTGCCTCAGTTTTTCTCTCAACTTTCAGCAGCTCTCCGCTACCTCAACATGAATTGGGTAGCATTCTGAGTTCGGGTTAGACACTGCGCTCGGACCCCTATAGCTCTCTCTCTATTAATAACACAAGTTGTTGTCTTTCTGAGCTCACTCTGAGAAATTTTAAATAACATTTTGGTGGCATTAAGATTTTCTTAAAATAAAACAAAATTAAACTAAAATAATTAATTATTTATTAAAAAAAAAATAAGAAAAAAACAATTAAATTAAAATTTAAAATTGAATTAAATTAAATTAAATTAAAATTTTAATAAAAATAATAATAAAAATAAAATAAAAATAAAATAAAATAAAATAAAATAAAATAAAATAAAAATAAAAACAAAAAAACAAACAAAACAAAACTAAACTAAACTAAATAAAACATAACAAAACATAAAAAAACAAAACAAAAATAAAATATTTATTTTTTAAATAAAATAATATTGAATACAAATTAAATTAAATAAATAAAACAAATTTACTCACTCACCTCTGGTTTAGTCCCTGATTTATCAAATTATGTTAACTTAAATTAAGTTAAATACAATTTTTAAATATAGATTTTAATTATGTTCTTACTCTGAATAAAACAAAATGCTGCAAAAATGGATCAAGGTTTTCACGAAAATATTTAGCAGCAACTGTTTTAACTTAAGAAAGTTTCTTTTGCACCAAATCATAGAAGGATTTCTAAAGGGTGAACACTGAAGACTGATGAAGATACAGTTTTGCATGACAGCTTAACATATATTAGGATTAAAAACATATTCTCAGTAGTAAAGATATTTCACAATGAACCACAAAATACAGAAAACTGATAATTTACGGATATTTTTACAGGGTAGGGTTATTTTGCAAGATTCCGCTTAAAGTATCATTTGGAGGCATAACTAGGTTAATTAGGTTAACCCAGTGTAGTTTACCAAATTCACTTATAGCGCATATATCTTTGGACTGTGGGGGAAACCCACAGAAACACGGGGAGAACTCCACACTAAAATGCCAACTGACCCAGCCGAGGCTCAAACCAGCGACCTTCTTGCTGTGAGGCGACAGAACTACCCACAGCACCTTACCTTCATTTGTGTCTATTTAAATGAAAGTTAAATGAAACATACCTCAACTTGTCCCTTAACATCTCCATGTTTTGCAGCTCGTCTCCCCCCAGTAAGAGTAGAAGAGTCCAGCTTCTCGCAGGACCTGCAGTGGCTTCTGGAACGCGGCGTTCAGTTCGCAGATGTGGCTTTTTACGCCGGGGAGTCTGGGAAGGAGCTGGGCTGGGCTCACGCGTCTGTCCTTTGTGCTGTCAGCCCGTATTTCAGGCAGCTGCTGGTGGGACGGCAGGCCTGGGAGAGACCCGTGTCCCGCTGCACCTGCCGGGACAGAGATGGCCCTCATTCGCTTCTGTCCACCTGGGACGGAGGTGTGGATGATCTGCCTCGAGCAGATGGGCATCCGCCGGGACACCTCTCTCGCCTGGTGGTGAAGGACCCGCTGCTGTGTTTGTGCCTGTGGGAGACGTTAATGTTCCTGTATAGAGGTGAGAGAGAACACGTGCTGCATTTAATATTATGGGTGGTGGAGATGTAGAAAGGGCTTGTTGGAGGAATTTTGGTGTATTGATGTTTATGGATTATTATTTTATTATAAAAGAAAAATTAAAGACATCTTTAGTGACAGATGTTTGCAGGAAATGAGATTAAATAGAGAGCTTTAGTTAGGTGTTAGCTTTTGTTGCACAGAATGACGCTAGTAATCACGAAGCAATTTAATTTAATTTTAATTTAATCATTTTCTTTTCGGTTTAGTCCCTTTATTAATCTGGGGTCACCACAGCGGAATGAACCACCAACTTATCCAGCAAATGTTTTACGCAGCGGATGACCTTCAAGCTGCAACCCATCACTGGGAAACATCCATTCACACTCATTCACACTCATACACTTCGGACAATTTAGCCTACCCAATTCACCCATAGCACATGTCTTTGGACTTGTGGGGGAAACCGGAGCACCCGGAGGAAACCCACGCGAACATGGGAAGAACAATCAAACTCCACACAGAAACGCCAACTGGCCCAGCCGAGGCTCGAACCAGTGACTTTCTTGCTGTGAGGCGATAGTGCTACACGCTGTGCCACCAAGACTCCCTGTTTTGTTTAATTTAATATATACTGAGAGCAATAAAAATACCCATAATCATATAAAATAATACATATTTTAAATACATATTTTTCAAACTGAAAAACTAAATTTACACTAAAAATACACTAAAGATTATATAAAAAAATGTATTTTAAATATTTATCTATTTAGTTTAATTTATACTGAGATTGTAATTTTAATAAGCTATAAAAATACTAAGACTCATATAAAATGCTATTTTTTTACATTATTATTTTTAACTTATAACCTAATCCATCTGAGCTAAAAAAAAAAAAAAAGATATTTGATTACATAAATATTTTATTTTACATTTTTATCTATTTATTTTATTAAAAAGCAAATATTCTTGAGGTATATAAAGAGGAAAAAGAAATAAAAATTAAATAAAATTTATGTTTAAATGTATTTTATTGTACAGATAACCAAATTCTCCTGAGCTATTAAAAGCAAAAATATATTGTAAATGTTTTTTTTTTATTTTATTTATTGAGAACTTAATTTTCGGATGTAAGAAATAGGTGCAAAGATCATTTAGAAATTATATTTACATGTATTTTATTGTACTTACAGAGACTTTTGGGAGGGTTTTTTATCTACGAAACAAAAACTGTAATGATCATGTAAAAATATAAAATATTTATACTTTTTGTAATGTTGCCAGTTATCCCTAGCTATGAAAAAGACATCAGTAATCTTATAGCAATATACTTTATTATATAACATTTTATTTTACCAACAGTCTAATTCTCTTGAGCTAAAAAAAGCAGATTTCCTCTGGGTAGAGCTGCGTTTATTACCGCCGTGCCTCTTCCATTTCTTTTTCCACACAGAATCCTGTCACAACCATAAATATGAAGCGAGATTAGCATTATTGAAGGAAGCGTTTTGAAAAAGCGCCGTCAGTTCTGCTGGTTTAGGCGTTTCAATTGAGTTATGCTGGAAACTGTTTCTCTCGGCCTTATCTCTTCAGCTCTGCAATTGTGTTTTCCTTTGTGTTTGAAAAGCAGGGGTTTTCACAGGACTGGCTTCATAATTAAAATGGCTTTAGTTTGGAGGCTGTATGTTTGTGTGTAAAGGCCTGTCTGATTTATAGTTCACTGCGCGTGCCGGTATGACGACATTTCACTCTATGAGACCCTGGAGCTGTGGAGCTGATTAACATGCTTGAGAGGACACAGATCTGTGTGTGTGTGCTTGGTTTTCTTCAAATGTGTGTGTCATATATATATATATATATATATATATATATATATATATATATATATATATATATATATATATAGTTTAAGTCAGAATTATTAGCCCCCCTTTGAATGTTTTTTCTTTTTTAAATATTTTTATGTCTGTTAATATTTTTTTTCTTCTAGAGAAAGTTTTATTTGTTTTATTTTGGCTAGAATAAAAGCATTTAAAAAAAAATCATTTTAAGGTCAAAATTATAAGCCCCTTTAAGCTATATATAGTTTTTGATAGTCTACAGAACAAACCATTGTTATTTAATAACTTGCCTAATAATCCTAATTTGCCTAGTTAAACTAATTAAACTAGTTAAGCCTTTAAACGTAACTTTAAGTGGTTTAGAAGTGTCTTGAAAAATATCTAGCCAAATATTATTTACTGTCATCATATAAAAATGTTGATGTGTTCAATACTTGTTTTCCCTGCTGTATCTGATAATAAGCTGCTGTGTTTGTTCTACTAGGATGGTCATAAAAAACGGGCCATATTTTAAATGCTAAATAAATAAAAAATAGAGCTGGTGCTGTTGGCGAAAATCATTTACATGACAAATAAATTCTTCTCCCTATAGCAAATAATGAATAGTAATTATCTACATATGTTCTGCACAAATTTAATTAAAGAATTCTTTTTAGACTGTGACACTTTCATGTCAAGCACATATAAAATAGTTACATGTTATATGTTAATATATATATATATATATATATATATATATATATATATATATATATATATATATATATATATATATACATATATATGATTTTATTTTTTAGTAGTATTGTGCATTTATTTAACATAATTTCATGTACCATCTTATTGATACTTAAGCACAATTTTATTTAAAATTCACATTAGCATAATACAATAAAAATAGTGATTTAATAAATACATGTCACAATCAAAATAATAAGATTTTAAAATGTTGTTTAAGCGTCTGTTTGTTAACTATTAATTTATTTAGCATTTTCTGACAATTAAATATTTAAGTCAGTCTTTTCATACCACAATGCAATAGAGAAATATGTATATATTATGTACATTTGGATAAATTATTCATATTCCATGTCATTTTCATGTCATTTGCATGCATATGAACACCATAATGTGATGCAAATGTGAATCAGAACAGCTTTTTTACAGGCAGTATTAATCTTATTTTGTTATTTTAATCACACTTTAAAAAAAAATTTAAATTTCAGGAAAACAACGCAATAAAAATCACTCTCTTCCTTTCCCTTTGATTTAGAGGTGGAAGTGCAAATTCACCCAAATGCATGCTTGTGATTCTCTACTCGTATTAGCCTGCCACAACACTCTTCATAAGCCAGGGAATTATACCCCCCCTTTCCCCATTCTTTGGGACCTCCGATTGCAAAATGGAGGCAGGGGGAGAGGACATGCATCTCAATCAGCAGTTCAGACAGGGCTTTAACAGTCCAGGAAACAGCAATGGATATTACACATCCATTTATCAGAGAAAGGCCATGCCTGGAAGGTGAGAAGGTGAAGCCCATACTGATGAGTTCATCTCACCCATTGCTGATATATAGTGTGATTTTACGGAGACCGTTTTCATATAGGGAACCAAGGGCACTCGTTAGATTAACGGAAACGATGCGCGGAAAGTCATCGCTCGTGGTTGCTCTCGGATGAGATCCCGTATGGTTTGTTTTTTTTAGTCTAGACAGGTCTACAGATGGGTCTTGTTTTAATATTGCATCAGCTGAACTGTGACGGATGAACATTTTTATGTGACGGAGCTGTGACAAAACATCAGTTAAATATGGGTCTTGATTTATCTAGGAGGTCTTTTCATGAAAAAAAATTGTCTTTCAGAATTTAATTTTGAGAGAAAAAGCTGTAGGAGCTCCTTGTTTGTGGCCTAGTGTGTAAAAGTACACACAGTTTGCTGAAATATGTTTTTAAATTCATAATTTTGTTATTCACAGTGATATTTTAATGTTACATTTTCCTTAATAAATACTTAGGCAACGCAGTGGTGCAGTAGGTAGTGCTGTCGCTTCACAGCAAGAAGGTTGCTGGTTCCAGCCTCGGCTCAGTTGGCGTTTCTGTGTGGAGTTTGCATGTTCTCCCTGCATTCGCGTGGGTTTCCTCCGGGTGCACCGGTTTCCCCCACAGTCCAAAGACATGCGGTACAGGTGAATTGGGTAGGCTAAATTGTCCGTATTGTATGAGTGTATGTGTGTGTGTGTGTGTGTATAAGTGTGTGGATGTTTCCCAGAGATGGGTTGCGGCTGGAAGGGCATCCGCTGCGTAAAAACGTGCTGAATAAGTTGGCGGTTCGTTCCGCTGTGGCGACCCCGGATTAATAAAGGGACTAAGCTGACAAGAAAATGAATGATGAATGAAATTGCACTAAAAAATCTGTGAAACTGCGAGGCCACGAAAGGTGAACTGCTTTTTAGCAAGGGACCACTGTACTTCCAAATAAACTTGAATTTATAGTGAAATTAACGCCATTGTTTTTGTTCAAATCACAGTGTTTAAAAGTGATGAAGAAAATGCTACAATAGCCTCTTTCACACAGTGATATCGGTAAATATCTGGAAAATTTCCAGAACGACTTTACCGGTATATTCAAATAAGCGCTGTTCACACAAGCGAGGACGTTACGGAAATTTTCCAGAAAAGACCGTTCACACATCCATTCCAAAATACCGGTAAATTCTGACATCATTAACCACAAATGAGCTTTAAACGGCTGCGCTTGTATTTGTAAACATTTGACTACATTACAAACTCTGTGGATGATCAGTATTGTGAACACCTTCGATGAAAACATATGGAGGATCACTTTCGCATGTCGAGATGTTTATAATATGTGCGTAAGCTTGAAGGTAAACAAACAGCGGCTTATCATAAGCATCTTATCTGTGATTATTTACACAGTTGGCATTAAGAAGAGCATATAAACGTTATCTGACTAACTTCTAGCAGCTCACGTCAGCACGTTCTAGATGTGCACGCGCTCTTTCCGGCAATCTTCCTTCTGCATTCACACAGCGCAGCATTCCGGCAAATTACTGGTAATGTTACAACTTCTCTTTCCGGAAAATAGCCAGAACGAATTTACCGGTATTTTCAAAAAGGACCTGTTCACACATACACACCTTTACGGAAAATTGCTGGTAATTTTCCGGAAAGGTCTGTATGTGTGAAAGGGGCTAATGACAACAGTGTAAGGCATCTGACCAATCAGAGTAGAGCTGGCTTTAAAAAAGGCGGAGTCTAGAGAGACTGGATCCTTGAACGAACCATTTCAGAAAAGAGCTGAAGCTGCAGTGCAAATTATGAGAAAATGAAAGTGTTTTTCAGCACATTAAGGTTGTAACTGAATCCAGCAGCACAGGGAGAGAGTTGAGCTGTTGGCTGAACTCCAGCAGATTCAAGCAGCCGATGTAAAAGGTCTAGGTTTCCTCAATGGTCAGTCAGTTAATGCATGTGTGAGCAGGATGTGTTCATGGTTCAGCGCGTGTTGGTGATGCGTTTTTTTCTACACAGGAGCCTGGGAATGGGAATACCTGGAGGAAGCCATCGCTGAAAAACTGAAGAACCCGATGGCCGTGGCTCAACTGATGGACAGAATGCGCTCGTTCGTCGGGAGAGAAAAGGTATCAACTGTGCAGAGATTTTGAGAGGTTTCTAAAAATGTCAGTTTTTGTTTTGCTAGCTAATACAGCAGTGATGTGAGATGTGTTACTGATAGTTTTTGTTGTGGACAACATAGGATTAAAGTGGGCATATTATGCAAAATTCACTTTGATAGACCATTTTGAGGGATGTAAACAAAAATAAATGGTCCCAACGTACTTTCTGTTTCACACATTTAATTTCTATAGCTTGAGAATCCAAAAAGAGCCACATATTAATAAGTATGATAGCTGATTTAACATTAAGTTATGATTGAATTGCTTCTTGCTACAGTTATGAAAGTTTAATAACAAGCAGGAAATGTTCATGGGCCAATGACATCGACACATTGAAATGGTCGATAAGGGGTTTAAACACAGTTGTGCTGCAACAGTGTGTGTATATAATCAGCCTCTAATGCTAAATATTAAAAATTACATTTTTTATAATCCCATTTTATAAAAATAGTCTGCAGAAACACTTAGATTGACATTTTGTACGTCATCAAATGGGGAAAGCCCCATCCCATAAGTGACAATCTCTCCCTCATTAGCATAGAAAACCCTGAGTGAGAAGCAGCTATCCGCTATTAGAGTTTTTTTTTAACATTGTACCTGCTGAAGATAATGTCAGCGACTAGGAGGATTATAAATGTAGAGTTTTAGGCTGCACAAATGAACACTGTAGTCTCCATAGATGCCTTCTTATAAGCTGCTTCTTTTGACATTTTCAGATTGCACAGAGATAACTTCAGTTAAATATTAGGCATGGACATATATATTGCGATTGTGATTTTCGAAAGTATTAAATCGATTTGTAAACGTGTATAATTACCATTTCATGAGTCTCCCCATACAGTTGAATAGAGCCCTTGGACCCGGAAGCCGCTTCACGTGACGTCACACTTAACAAGTGGATTTGTCGTTTGTAGCTCCGCCCTCTTTTAAAAAGAGCACAATCTCATTTAAATTTAAAGCAATTTTGTGATGTATTTTTAGGGTAAACTTCACATACTCTCTCTAGAGACATCCGAGACTTCTTCATATCTTGTAAAAAGGGGCATGATAGGTCCCCTTTAATGCCTGAAATGCCTCGTTGTGGTATTTTTCACCCACATACTAAAAAATGCTGGTTTGATTTAACATAACTTTGGATCAATTATGGACAAACTCATTTGCTGGGTCAAAACATCTAATATAAAATGCGTTGAAAATATTTACCCAGCAAGTTTGTCCATAAATACCAAATTTATTGTATAGTCTACAACTTATAGTCATTAGACTACAACAACTTAGTTCAATTAAATTTTTTTATATGTTTTTTATTTTTATTTTATTTTATTTTATTTTTTTTGCAGTTTTGTTTCATCTTTGTTTTATCAAATGCTAATAACAAACATTTTTGGGGTAGAGTAGGTCTAAACAACAGTAGCAAATAAGAAATGATACAAAAACTGAATATGCAACAACAAAACACTAAATATTTTAGCTTGCAAAGAATATACATATTAAAGCTACTATAGTTATTCAGTTGTGATCATTGTTTACATTGAATTAGGTATATTTCATTTAATATATGCAAAACAGTCCAGTCTTTCAATAGCCACTTAACATTGCAGCCACATTTATAGTCATAAATTTCCCCCATAGTTCTTATGTTGTATAATATTACTGCATGATAATGATGATGATAATGAATATTTTAATATTAATTAAATATAGAACTGAACACAATAGATATAATAACCATGTATTATTTTAAACAACTACAGATATTTGTATTATGTATAACCGCATTAACATTACTGCAGTAGTAAGTAGTTCTAAATTATTCACTGTATTGCAATTTTTGGAATACCATACAGATAGTAAATCCATGGTAAATTTATGCAAATATCTGCATGGTTATAAATGTTAATGGTACCAACAGCTTTTAAGGCCTCAGACTGTGCACTGCAGTGTCGATTGGTTTTGTTTGCAGGCCCCCAGGGACACTCCCACACCCCGCTCTCAACAAGGTCCTATGACACTGGGAAGCCTCTTCAATTCCCCTCTGTATTCTGATGTCATCTTTATGGTGCAAGGCAAGAGTCATTGCTATTTCCCTGCATATACATCGGCATGTAAACACACCATTGTTAATTTAGAATTGTTTTTTTATTTGCTATTTTTTACTCATTTACTATTGAGGAAAAAGAGGTAAAGTTTTCTGGCATGCATACATTTCTTATTATTCAGATACCATGCTAATTTCCCAGGATGTGACTATTTTATAATTTTTAACAGATGTGATAGAAATGATGCTTTATTTGCTAATGTTTTTACGGTATTAAAATTTAAGGTGTAAAATCAGAACTTTGCATGGAAATTTGTTTAGAAAGGCGAAGAACAAAACAAATATTTCAAAAGTAATTTTGGTTATTTGTGTAATGACCAAGTCATAGATACATTTAATAAGGCCAGATCAGCCTAAAAAATAATACATTTACAAAATAAAATTCATACAAGCACAGCACAATTAACATTCACAAAATCCAAATGTAAATTTGTAAACACAATTCATGAATTCACAAGTAGAAATCATAAATAATTTCCCTAAATGAATTGGATTTGCATGTTTGTGCTGTGTTTTGAATTAACTAATTGGATTTGTGCATTTTTAATAGTTTTCTGAATTTACTAATTGGATTTGCATATTTTCAAATCATGTTCTGAATTGGATTTGTGCATTTTTAAATCATGTTCTGAATTTCTGAATTGGATGTGTGTATTTTCGAATCGTGTTTGAATTTACGAATTGGATTTGTGTATTTTCGAATCGTGTTTGAATTGGATTTGTGTATTTTCGAATCGTGTTTTGAAATTATGAATTGGATATGTGTATTTTCAAACGGTTTTCTGAATTTATGAATTAGATGTGTATTTTCGAATCGTGTTCTGAATTTAAGAATTGGATTTGTGTATTTACGAATCGTGTTTTAAAATATGAATTGGATGTGTATTTTTAAATCATGTTCTGAATTTACAAATTGGATTTTTGTATTTTTAATTCGTGTTTTGAAATTATGAATTGGATTTGTGTATTTTCGAATCGTGTTCTGAATTTATGAATTGGATAAGTGTATTTTCGAATCGTGTTTTGAAATTATGAATTTGGATTTGTTTATTTTTTAATCGCGTTCTAAATTTACGAATTGGATGTGTATTTTCGAATAGTGTTTTGAATTTACAAATTGCATTTGTGTAGTTATGAATTGATTTTAATTTATGAATTGGATGTCTATTTATGAACAGTGTTGTAAATTTATGAATTGGTTCATGTATTTATGAATAGTGTTCAGAATTTTTGAATCAGATTTGTGTATTTTCAAATCATGTTTTGAACTTACAAATTGGATTTTGTAAATGTAAATTGTGTTGTAGATGTATGAATTTTATTTTGTAAATGTATTATTTTTGAGACTGATCAGGATCAATAATATATTAAAGTGATATTTTCGTAAAGGTTATTTTAAGACAATTTCATTCAATATGTTTTCTGTGTACAAATAATTATTTATTCTTTATTATTTATTCTTAATTGATTATAAATAAAAAATTGTAACAATTTTACAAAATTTGAGTCAAAAATTTGATCAATAATATTTAAAAGTAGCTCATATTTTGGATTTTGCAATTTTATTTATAGTATACAAATAACAAACACTATTATACAAATTATACTAAATAACATTAAGTGTAAATAATTACATTCTTTATATATTTTATTTATGTATTTTATTAAATTTAAGTTCATTTATATAGCAATTTTCTAAAAAATCATTATAAAGCAACTTAAAAAAAAAAAAAAAAAAAACACACACACACTGGTATGTTAAGTACAAGGGGAAGCCTTGTGTGTGTCAGAGCTCCACTGTTATGCTTGACCCGCGTGCGTGTGTTTGAAAGGTCATTTGTGTGTCTGCTTTCAGGAAGTGTGCTGCCAGCACACAGAGCTGTACTTGTGGCCCGCTGTGATGTCATGGCTGCCATGTTTAGTGGGAAGTACGCAGAGGCACGAAGTCGCGTGGTGCCAATCCACGGAGTCTCCTCTGACACCTTTCTAGCTTTCCTAGAGTACCTCTACACTGACACCTGCTGTCCAGGTGAGGAGAAGCATTCCAAGGCTTGTAATTGTTTACTAATCAAATGTCTTTCTTCTGTTTAACCCCTTAACTGCCATTCATAAATGCTTTTTAATACAAACCTAAAGCTGCTCTCATTTAAAAAAAAATAAATAAATAAACACTGCAGATTATTGCTGAAAGCATTTTTAAAAAGTGAATGAGTAAGTAAAGCTATATACGTTTAAGTTTACCTTAAAAAAAGTATTTTGTAATTTATTTTTAAATATTTAAAATGTGCCTAAAATCAAAGCCATGTCTACCCAAGGAATCACAAAATTATCTCAAGAACTAAGACTTCTTAAGATATTTTGTTTAGGCGCAGTAACAAAAATAAGCCCCAGAGGCCTGTCCCACAAAACAAGTTTAACAAACTCTGGGTTGAAGAGTAAGTTCTGGATTGACAAAACCAAACAAATCAAACCTGGTTGAAATTATGTTAAGTGGTTGCACAGCACTTGATATAAACATTCTCTATTAACTCAGGGTTTAACACAGAGTTTGTGAATAACTGCAAGCTCCTGAAAGTATTGACATGTGCAGTAAACAGCTAATCACACGAAACATGCGAGTCCAGTTGATTAATTTCTCACGAGAATCTGTGCAATTTACTTTGTTAAAGGTTAAGAGATCTAATCATCAGAAATATAATGAATTACAAACCCATTAATGCATTAAAAAGGCAGAAATAAGCAATGCTGATGCAGCAAAATTTAAGAAGACAACATTAAGAAAATATTTTATTAGCACAAATCAGTCAGCTGATTTTAATAATGTAGGTTCACAAACAGCTAAAAAGACAACAATTTTAAAAGCTTTATATTTGTAGTTGTACATTTTCATCTAAAGCTACTACTAATATTAAATGACAATTCAAAACTTTTTAAACACATAATATTTAAATATTTATTCATTTTCTTTTCGGCTTAGTCCCTTTATTTATCTGGGGTCACCACAGCGGAATCAACCGCCACCTTATCCAGCATATGTTTTATGAGGCGGATGCCCTTCCAGCTGCAACCCATCACTGGGAAGCATCAATGCACACTTATTCACACTCATACACTACAGACAACTCAGCTTACCCAATTCACCAATAGCGCATGTCTTTGGACTATGGGGGAAACCAGAGCACCCGGAGGAAACTTACCCGAACACGGAGAGAACATGCAAACTCCACACAGAAATGCCAACTGACCCAGCCAAGGCTTAAACCAGCGAGCTTCTTGCTGTGAGGCAATCGTGCTACCCACTGCACCACTTTGACGCCTTATTCAAATATAAAAAAATTATTATTAGCAACAAAAAAAAGACTACATTGACTAAAAAAAATGCTTTAAGTGTAAAAGCTTTTCAATTTTGAGCCAGAAAGATGCTAGGAGTGGGTTTATCGCGTAAGATATATATATATATATATATATATTGTTCTAAGGTAAATAAAAGCTAAGAAATATTAGTTTTTTTCTACAATGATGGTTTTGTACATTATTATCTTTTGGAAGAAGCCTGTGTCACACATGCAAATGAAGTTGAACTCCTATGGCCAGCACAGTCACCAGACCTAAATATTATTGAGCCACTTTTGGGGGTGTTGTGCGAGAGTGATTTAGGAAACGTTTTCCTCCACCAGCATCATGTAGTGACCTGTCCACCATTCTCAAAATCCCTCTGGCCACTGTGCAGGACTTGTATAGGTCATACCCGTGACTAACTGACACTGTATTGGCCATACACCATACTGATGAATTATTGGGGTCTAAAACCAGCCGTTTTATTGTCCAACCCTATATAAACACACAGCATATGTCCCTTTACTGATTGGTCCACTTTGAGTTTGCAATATCTTACCCAGATTTACATATGCTCTGAAGCAGCTTAGCCATGCAGTGTAAAGTAACATGGTTATAAAACCAACTTACACCCCTAAACACAAATGTTTGCTCAAACTAAACACTAACTTACCTAGGTTGAAAACTCAAACCATTTTTGTGCAACAGGCCTCAGATAACTTCTATAACAAAGCAAATCCCAAATATTGAACCATGATTGTCAGACCTTTTCTTGTAATGTGTAATTTTTTCAGGATAAGAAAAGTATTTGATTAAAAATAAATAGTACAGTTGAAACAATACAGTTGAAACAATGTCATTTTTATAATGATGCAATGTCCAATTTCAAAATAGATGAAAATATTTTAAGTAATTTAAAAGTAAAATAAAAAGTATAACTTTCAACATTACCCCCAACTTTTGAAAGGTATTTTGTTTCTAACATTCAAGCAGAAATATTAATTTGGCCTACAAAATGTTTGCTTTCACTATCCAGTGCAGCGTAACCCAGATGTTTCCGTCATGTAGTGGTTTATCTCGTATGTATTTTTAAACAACAAAGGTTCTGCGTGCCAGTTTGCCTCAGTCGTTCTGTCAGTCAGTGTGATGGCTGTTTAGTCATTCATATCAAGGCTATTAAACAACACTGTTAAGAAAAAAAAGACACAAAGTCTGAGCTTGAATGACAGTGGGTGAATGTGAACAGAGGTTGATGGATGCGAGTGAAGAGAGAAACAGGAGGAGGTGACTGACGGTGGTGTGTGTCTGTGTGTTCAGCCAGTGTGCTGCAGGCCATGGCTATTCTGGTCTGCGCAGAGATGTACCAGGTGAAGCGTCTGCAGCACCTGTGTGAGGTGTGTGTGTGCGCGTATCTTCAGAGCATGCCCAGTCGAGAGCTCGCGTCTACGGGCATCAGTGTCATACGCTTACTGAGGAGAGCAAAGGTGAGCCTTTACATCAACATGGGTGTGTTCTGTTTTCTTTTCAATATATAATCCATTTGCTTTGAGTGCCTAACTATTGTGTAGTAGGAAAACATACACATTAGGAGGGATAATATTGTTGATAGTTTAAACTGCACATTGCCTGTTCAAAATGCATTAAATTTCATTCTGTGATGGCGAAGCTGAATATTCAACCTCATTACTCCATTCTTCACTGACATGTGATACCGAAGAAATCATTCTGAAATGTTGATTTTCTGCTCAAGAAACATTTATTTTCATCATCAGTGTTGAAAACCGTTCCATTTCTATGGAGCCAGATCAGTTTCAAAAATAATACATTTACAAAATAAAATTCATACAAGAATAGCACAATTCACGTTTACAAAATTTAAATTGTAAATTTGCAAACACTATTCGTGAATTCAGAGGTAAAAACAAATAATTTCACCAAATGTATTGGATTTGCATATTTGTGTTTAGTATTTAAGAATTGGATGTGTATTTTTGAATCGTGTTTTGAGCTCATAAATTGGGTGTGTGTATTTATGAACCATTTACTGAATTTACAAATTGGATTTGTGTATTTTTAAATTGGGTTTTGAACTTACAAATTGGATTTGGTAGATGTGAACTGCAATGTAGATGTATGAACTTTATTTTTTATATGTATTATTTTTGAGACTGATCTGGCTCCACGTTTTAGGATTCATACTATAAAAAATGTTATATTATTATACATGTATAATTTAAATTTATATACTTTTTTTAAAATGTATAATTTTTTAATGGGGTTACAGGAGTATTTATGCATGATGAGCTAATATTTCATTCATTATTTAGTTTTTTTTTTTGTTTTAATAATTTGATGAATTTTTACAAAACTTTGCAAAAAAAAAAAAAAAAAAAGTGTAAGTTTGTCCAATCAGTGTGACAAAGGAAACAATGAAATTTATTACATGTACAGCGTGTTTTGTGTTTTGGTGGTATTCTACCATTTTTTTTTATTTTAATTGTGATAATTTTATGTGCTTTTTAACATTTTAATGTGTTTTTGTTAGTTTTATAATATTTCTATTTAACGTAATTTATTTAAAATAAATAAATACATTTTGTATTTATTTTTCTATAGATTTATTTTAAATTTTCATACTTCAAATACATTTCAGCAGCAAGGCAGAAGTTTTTTTTTTTTTTTTTTTACATTTTTGCCATCTACCATTTTAAGCACAGAAAAAAAGGTCGAATTATATTAGGTCATCAGGTTTTCCATGCATACCTAAAACGTACTAAAAAGTAAAAGTAATATGGTATACAGTATGTTAATCCCTAAATAGCATCTCAAAATTTTGCAACAGGTGTTAGTTAACAGCAAGGCCGTCATCATACCTTAATTACTTCTGATTAATTCTTATCATTCTAAACTATTTGCAAACTAAATTGTAAAATATGCACACATTTACCCTAATGTGAAAATCAAATGAAATTTAAAGTAAAAACGCTGGTTCTATTTTTGGTTTTAATGTTGATTAACTTGAGGTGACTGTTAAAAAGAGAACATGGGGTAAATTAAAGATCATTTTGAAATATGAAGGACGTACACTAAATAATACTTTAAGAACACTTAAGATTTCATTCTAGAGACTAGTAATGCCCCGGTGCTCCTTTATACCAACCACTGTCAGTTTTTGAATCAAGTGGTGTAATCTGTATACGTGTATCCTTTTGTTTTTATTTGTTCAGTTATTCACTACATTGTGATGTGTACTTGGTGCAAATAGTGTGTTGTTGTACTATTTTTTTTTTGTGGTATTTTTTGTTTTATAATTCAATGTATTGTGATGGCCATGGTGGCAAATGAGTTTCCCCTCTCAGGGATTATTACAATTCTCTTCTACTACTACTATACTATTTCTATCATAAAGACAGTTCAAATGCTGCTTCAATGTTACATACTGTAGCTCTGTTTCAACACTGGACTGTGCTCTGCCTTAGTGATCTGTAAACTCCACCTACTTTCATTTGATTGGCTTAGAAGGCTAGACCAAAAGAGGGGGAAAAAATCCTATTGAGTAAAAAAGAAATTTGACATTATGGCCATTTCACCCCTTCAATGTGTATAGTAGTAATAGCCCTAAATAACATTTTATCTAATCTGTTGCTCACCCTCTTTCTCAATGCAGTGTCATAACGCTGACCAGCTATACGTCTGGCTCCTCCACTTCATTGCCAATAACTACCTGATCTTCAGCCACAAGCCTGACTTCCTGGAGTTATCAGGTGAGCCGTCTGCTTGACCGCCTGGAAAGATGTTGAAGCGTATTAGAAGACATGCACACACAATCATCTCTCATACTAAAACAGCCAGAGAGCCGTCCCAACAGCTGGTGCCGCAGACGAGCCCATGCAAATCACCACCGGCTTCTGTCAGAGCTTCATTATGAAACACTGAGAGCAAATGTAAGGTCACTTTTTAAAACAAACAAATCACTTTTTCACACCTAATTAGTATGTGCTGCCCTTCCACGCACACTTGGAAAGTGTACAAACGAGAGTCACCTCATGAATTGTGCATCGATTTTGTGAGTCACCAAAGACCAGTGGCAGAAAAGAGGTTTTTTTCCAAATCCCTTTATGTTTTTAAAAGCAAACTTGTAGTGTGCATTATCTTTTAAATTGCATATAGAGACAATGACATAAGTTCAATTTAACATTAAGAGTGACAGCTAATGTTAAAAGCAGAATTATTTAATTATTTTTCAAATACTTCCAAAGTGATGTTTAACAGAGTAAGGACGTTTTTCACAGCATTTCCTATATTATTAGTTATTATAAGTCTTATTTCTTTGAGTTGGGTTGGAATAACATCTTACAAAATAACTATTGGGGCAGCACAGTGGCCTGAATAATTGGCAGTTCATTCCACTGTGGCCACCCCTGATAAATAAAGGGACTAAGCCAGGGGTGTCCAAACTCTGTGCTGGAGGGCCGGTGTCCTGCGGATTTAACTTGCCTCAAAACACCTGCAAGGATGTTTCAAGAAAGCCTAATAAGAGCTTGATTAGCTAGCCCAGGTGGGTCTGATTAGGGTTGGAACTTGGAACTAAACTTTGCAGGACACCGGCCCTCCTGAACAGAGGTTGGACATGCCTGGACTAAGCCAAAGGAAAATGAATTAATGACTATATAAATATTACGTACAATCATCATGGCAAGAACAAAAAATTAGCTATGAGAAATAGGCCAGTCACTATAAACAATATATCGACTAAACATGAACATGATTTTTTTGGCCACTCAACATATATTGTCCATCATGTTCACATAAAAATTAATGTCTTCAAAATTTGAGCAGATTTAGCGGCTTCTGTCATCTCCTCTAATCTTTTTTTTTTTTTACTAACAGATCAAAGAGGTGTCAAAGTAAATTCTGTTCAAACTTGCAGTCTACTTCCAGAAAAGTTTTGATTTACAAATTACATTGAAGACAAAAGGACATTTACATGTGTATGTGATATTTTACTCATTATGACAAAAATGAGTCTGACTTATTGTGACAGGCCTAATTAAAAATCTGTAACTAAAATAATAATAATTCTTTAGCACTCCTCTGGACACTCAAAGCACTTTACACATTTTTGGGAGAATCCGTTCAATCACCACCAGTGTGCAGCATCCACCTGGATATTGCATCAGACCGCACACCAGCTAATTGGTGGAGAAACCAATTATAATATGGGGATGGTTAGAAGGCGATGATAGACAGAGATTAAACCACTACTGCTTTTTTTTCTTCTCTATTTTCCTAAAGGACATCCTGGGATTTTTAATGACGACAGAGTCAGCATAGAGTCCGCAATAATACACTGGGGCATTAGGACCCACACAGATCGCAGGTTAAGCACCCCCTGCTGGTCTTACTAACACCTAGCTTTCCCTAGGAGTCTCCCATCCAGGTACTGACCAGGCCCATCCCTGCTTCAGTGGGCGACCATGTGAGAGTTGCAGAGCACTAGCTGCTGGCATTTAAATTATTAAGTTGGAAAAAAAATATCTTTGTTGAACAGCATTTGGGAAATATTTTTAAAAGCATTACAATTTCCCAGGAGGGCTAATCATTTTGCCTTCAATTTTGTTTCAAACTGTGACTAAAAAAATACATCAGTTCAGTTGATGTTTTTAAGCATTTATTGTGACATTTTAGTGCATTATATTTTGTACACTCGTTGGGATATGCATACCACTTCCATAGTATTTTTCCCTACTATTGAAATGAATTGGAGCCAGCAACCACCCTTTTGTGAAACTCAAATAGATTTGTGAAATATTTTTAAAAGCATTACAATTCCCCAAGAGGACTAATCATTTTGCCTCCAATATTATTTCAAACTGTGACAGTAAAAGACATACATATCTGTTCTTTTATGTTTTTAAAGCATTTGTTGTGACATTTATAGTGCATTATCTTTAGTACACTCATTGGGATATGCATATAGAGGCAGACAGTTACATAATTTCTGTTTCAGATAAAGATGGACGGATATGCCTAAAAAAAAAAAAAAGATGTTTTAATCTCCCTTTAGTTATTAAAGCACACCTTAGATGAGAACTTAAAGGGATAGTTCAACCACAATACCAGATACCACACCCTCATGTGATTCTTTCTTCTGTTGAACACAAAAGATGATATTTTGAGGAATGCTGGCACACACTAACTTCCATAGTATTTTTCCCCTACTATGGAGGTCAATTGATGCCAGCAACCAGAAAATAAAAATTCCTTTTGTAAAACTCTGTAAGATTTGAGAAATATTTTTAAAAGAATAAAAATTCCAGGAGGCTAATCATTTTGCTTTCAAATTTGTTTCAAAATGTGACATTAAAAAAACAACAACATATTAGTTCAGTTTAAGTTTTTAAAGCGTTTATTGTGACATTTTTGGAGCATTATCTTTTTTGTACACTCATTGGAATATGCATATAGAGACAGTTACATAGTTTCAGTTTCAGATAAAGATGGATGGATAAACCTTTCTGAGTTTCTTTATCTTTGTTGAACACAAAAGAAGATACTTTGAAGAACGCTGGCACCCATTAACTTCCATAATAATTTTATTCCCTACTATGAAGGGTGCCAGCTAACAGTATTTTTTAAAATATATTTCCTTTGGTGTTCAAAAGAAGAAAGAAACTCAAAAAGATTTTAAAGCAAGTGCGGGATTTTAAGGCAAAGATGGATGGATATACGTTTCATTTGGCATTCTTGTAGAAAGTTATTAATTTTCCTAAAGATGAAGAGTTCCAATGATGCTTTTTTTTGGTTGACAGACGAGGAGCGCGAGCAGGTGGAGCGTCTGCGCTGGCCCTCCAGAGGTTACCTGCAGGAGCTCAGCGAGTACCAGCAGCGCAGACGGCAGATCCGCAAGTCTCGCTGCAGCATCATGTGACCCCTTCTTAACGCCCTGCGGACCGGAAGGGAGGGCGAAAAACACAGAATGGGAATTGGAGATGCACTTACATACAGGATGAAAGAGACCTTTGTTTGACAGTGAATTCTGAAGTACTGTATTTACATGAACTCTGACCTCTGACCCTGTGATATAAAGTGGACAGCTTGATCCTATGCGCTGATGTCATACAGATTTCTTCTATGTGAATAGTACTGTAATCTTCTGTGTGAACGCTCACGGCTGATTGGTGCAATAAACCTCCTCTGCGATGGATGAACTTTAAAGTATTAAACAGGGTAGGGTCGATCTTATACTCCCTCCAGAGATTGATATCTCACTCTCATGGTCAGCCATGGTGACATTTCTTTCTTTCTGAATTCTGTGGTTACTTTTGGCAATATAACTTGAATAAACTTCCAAATATTTATTTATTTTTTCTTCCCCCATGAGATTAATTTGAATCTGATGCAACTATTTTTGTAACATGTACATCTGAGATTTTTATTTCAACTAAAAAAAAAAATGTGCGAAGTACACATCCAGCATGTGGATGGTCTCTTAGTGCAGTCGGTGTGGTCGACGTAGAGCCAGTTGTGGCTGTCTTTAGACTAGTCCTGTTATGTTGACCCTCATCTCATGCTGAATAAAGACATTTTAGAAGGATGCTTGTTTGTTCTGAGAGTTCAGTGTAAATCTATGATTACCAACGAATAGGTAGTGGCTCTGGCTTGTTCAAAGCCAGTCTATGATGTTGGAAAAGCCAATTCTACTGTAGATGAAAACTATGTATATTAAGAAACAAGAAAAGAGACTGGTTAGGTTATTGTAGTTAACCAAAACCATCAAAATAACTCACTTAAAGGGATAGTTCACCCAACAATAAAAAACTACCTGTCACAATCACTTGTCATAAACCTGTTTAAGTTTCTCCTTATCTAGATCACAATAGAAGGTTGGAAACCTGTAACCATTGACTTCCATTGTATTTGATTTTGCTGCTATGGAAGTCAATAATTTCCAACATTCTTCAAAACACCTAATTTTTTGTGATCAAGTCTGGTACAAGGTTTGGAACAACTTTAAAGTAAGTACAATTTTTTATTTTTGGGCAAACTATCTCTTTAAATAACGTTAAATGTAATGTTAAACGTTAAATTTATTTTAGCTAGTTATTAAGGAAACAGTTGCAATTTTCATTTAGTTTGTTCTATACAGACGGTACCATATAATAGACAAATTACTAAATATTAGTTAATATTTAAGTGAACATGAAAAATCTAACAAATAATAATAAAATCCACATATTACTAAGAAAATTTATGAATCTCAATTCTGAAAACAGAGCCAAACATCTATTTAGGTTTGTGCTCAACTTTTTGTGGAGCAAATGTTTGGCTGCTGAGAGAAAAATCTTTTCTTAAAAGCATTTGAGGGATATTTCTCTGTACTACACACAATTTTGATTTCAGTTTAAGATTTAGACCCTTGGGTAAAACCTATTGAGAAGCACTGGTGTAATAGTGTTGTGTTTATATATATCATTTTAATATGTTATGAAGAACGACAGTGAAATATACCCTCACTGCAGACATCCGATGGCCTGCAACATGCCTTCCAGTTTTCCAGAACGGTCAAGACCCTCAACATCACTTCCTCCTCCAACACAATCTTCTCCTATGAAAACTCGAGGAACCTGTAAAGAATACATGAGGAATACATCAAGGAATGTGACATAGACCTACTGAAAATGAATGAAGCACATAATCTTTAATAAACATGGGCAGGGTTAAACATGTTGGTCAAGCCAGTGGTGACTCAGCATATTTGTAAATTAGCTGGTAAAACAGCCTTGATATACAGTACAGGTCACCAAAATAATACCTATGGTACTGGAAATAACCTAACAAAACACAAATATCTGTCGTTTTGAGTAGGCACCAACATTTGAACTTTCCTTTTAGAATTACTGTAACTGACTCAAGTGTGTAATGTTATGACTAGCAGGCTTCGAAAAAACGTTGTTATTCATGAACTTTCAAAAAGTTAAGCTCTACATTATTAATATTTTTGTGTTGTAATTTTTATTCAGAACTCAGAAGGCAACTTTCTGACTGAGGAAAGTTGAATGTGCTGGCCAGTTTGTGTTTTTCATGATATAATGATATAAAAATTTTGAATTAAAAAATTAAGGTTTTTATTTATATTTCTTCATTCTATATATTTAGCAAATGTTTTTGGTACCTCAAGAAGTGTGGTTTGAGGACCATCCAACAGGCTAATCCAGCTAGAATAGTGCTTAAAATGTCACTAAAATGCAGTATTGAAATCTCATTATTAAATAGAACATAAAAGGACCACCCTATTGCGAAAAAAGGACCACCCTATTCACTAGGCTGGCTAAGTTACTGGCCTGCCTAACAGTTTAATATATATAATAATATTCCACAAACGTTAAAGTACTCACAGTGCGCGCGCCCGTGATCTGTTGCAGATAGTCCTGTATGCTGCCCATGTCAGCGCGTGCGCTAATATCGATCAACTCAAAATGTCCAGCTTTAAATTTATACTTCGACAAAACATCCTTTGCGAGTATGCAGTAACTGCAGGTCGGTTTACAAAACACAACTACTTTGCCGTCCTTAATTTGCGCTTTAACAAACTCTGCCATTGCTCTCCACGTAACAAAAAACAGCCGTTCACAGCTAGACTCCAGTCAAAATGAAACTTTTTTTCCGGGTTTTGAGTCAGTTTTTCCACCCTTCGATGGTTGGGCGGGATTAATAAACCGATCTTTGGTAAAACACTTCCAACCGATCTTTGGTTGGAGGGAATTTCGGTGTTTGTAAACAAATTTTGATCCTCGAATTAATATTTTGTAAAGAAATGAACCATTTTTCTATATATATATATTTTTTTGTCCACGAAGGTCATTACCTTTGAACACTTTCCTGAAATCAAAGACTGACGTTGGCACAAACCAATAGGATTCGAGTATGGACAGTGATAGATCACTTCATTGGTTGGATCTGAACTGATACGCCCGCCCTCTTCACTGTAAACAGGTGTTTTGAATCAACCGCGGCACAAAACATGTAGCAATTAACGATTATAGTTAGACATAAAACATAATAAAATATTATTAAACAACATTGAGTTGATGGAGATTTCAACTGACTCAAAATCTAGATCAGATTTAACTGACAGTTTTTGAACAATCGCATCTATCTGAAATTACCGTGTGTTTTCTACTGCATGAAGTACGAAAAAGTAATTAATTCATTTTCTTTTCGGCTGAGTCCCTTTATTAATCTGGGGTCACCTCAGCGGAATGAACCACCCATGTATCCAGCATATGTTCTACGCAGCGGATGTTCTTCCAGCGAGACATTGCTCGCTGCAGAGCTGAGCTCCAGCGAGGGGGAGCATGAGCTCTCGCTCATCCTCCTATAAGCTGTTTTAATGCGTACACCAACCCCACCCCTAACCCTACCCCCAGTGACATCACTCGTAGAAGAAGTGTATGAAAGGAGGAAGAGCGCTCAAGCTCCCCCTCGCTGGAGCTCAGCTCTGCCCAAATGGCTCTGCAGCGAGCACCACTTGCTTCCAGCTGCAACACGTCAATGGAAAACATCCATACACTCATTTACACACATAGACTACGGCCATTTTGGCTTACCCAATTCACCTAGGTAAAGTCTAGATCGGATATGCGGCCGGCCGGAAGTGCGATATACACATTAATAAAGCAGCATTTTTAATGACACTGTATAACAATAATTAATATTTTTAAAGTACTGTGATGGTTGGGTTTAGGGTTGGGTTGGGGGTAGGCGTTAAAAATACATTTTATTGGGTAATTTTATAGATACCTATACTGCATGTCTTTGGACTTGTGGGGGAAACCGGAGCGGAAATATCTGTCGTCTTTAGTAACGAAAACATTTAAATGACACTTTTATTATTACTGTAAGTTAACTGACTAAGTGTGTGATGTTATTATGACTAGCAGTCTAATATATAAAAAGACACCATGATATTACACAAATGTTAAAGTACTCACAGTGCGCGCGCCCGTGATCTGTTGCAGATAGTCCTGAATGCTGTCCATGTCGCTGCGCAGGGGCGCCCCCAAGGGGTGGCCAGGGGTGGCCACGGCCACCCCTCGGTAAACTCTGGCCACCCCTGTGGCCACCCCAATATAATTTTGCTGTTGACATTATTGATTTAAATGTACTTATAAATCCCCAATGTTTAAATAAATAAAATGCAACCACTAAATTATTGTTGGTGTTACTGACGTAGCTGATTCATTGTCTCTCCCCCTTAGTGCTGGTTCAATGCTGAATGCTGTTGAAAGCAAACTGACGCATGCGCGCAGAAAACCATTCTCGCGTGCCTCACGCACTCCTGTGTGAATCCGGTTGGTTGTTTGCATGCACGCCGACAAAATACGCGCCGCTCATGCGCGTATTTTGCACGCACACACCTTTAATAGACAGCAATGGCAAATTTAATATTTATAATCCATAATATTTTAATATAATATAATCCAGGGTCGCCACAGAGGAATAAACCGCCAACTTATCTAGCACATTTTTACACAGTGGATGCCCTTCCAGCTGCAACCCATCTCTGGGAATAATAAACTCATTAATCTTCATTAATTTTAGACATGGCATATACTGTATGATGTACAATAAAAGCACGTTAAAAGTTATTTATACAGTATATATATATATATATATATATGAAAAGTGTTTTTAAACTAAACTGATTTTTATTTGGTTTGCACATGTACTTCCTGAATTACTTCAAGGAATAAATAGCAATTTTTCAAGAAGAATTAATTAAATGAATAAAAACTACATTATTACATTTACCAAAAACAAAAATATAACATTACACTGAATTCATTATTTTTTTTTTGTGTGCCACCCCAAGATTTGGTGCGGCCTCTTCTGGCCACCCCTAAGAAAATTTTCTGGGGGCGCCACTGTCGCTGCGTGCGCTAATATCGACCAATTCCAAATGTCCAGCTTTGAATTTATACTTCGATAAAACATCCTTTGCGAGTACGCAGTAAGGGCAGGGTGGTTTCAAAAATACAACTACTTTCCCGTTCTTAATTTGGGCTTTAACAAACTCTGCCATTGCTCTTCTCGTAACAAAAGACAGGCGTTCACGACTATACTGTAGTGAAAATGAAACTGTTTTGTTCCGGGTCTTGAGTCAGTTTTTCCAGCCTTCAAGGGTTGGGCGGGTCTAACGAACCAACTCTTAGTAAAACACATTAATGGTTGGAGGAAATTTCGGGGTTTGTAAACAAATTTGTATCCTCGAATTAATGTTTTTTTTTTAAAGAAACGTACCAATTTCTATTTTTTGTCCACGAAGGTCATTACCTTTAAACACTTTCCTGAAGTCAAAAGACTGACGTTGGCACGAACCAATAGGATTTTAGTGTGGACCGTGACAGATCATTTCATTGGTTGGGATTGAGCTGATACGCCCGCCCCCTTCACTATAAACAGGTGTTTTTAATCAATCGCGGCACAAACTATTATATACTACTATATATATACAATTATACTTAAAACCAGGGGCGGACATAGTGATTTGGGGCCCCAAGCAATTTCAGGTATTCCTAGCACTGAAACTCAAAACATTCTCTTTCTCTATAGATATTGTTTTCTCAGTAGTTTTTTTTTTTTAAACTGCATATAAAAATATATTTTGAATAAAAACAAGTTCACAAACTATGCACAGCTAATTAGCCATATTTGTGATTAGACTTTAAGATTTGCATGTGCAGTACAGAAGGAATGTTCCACTGTTCATGGGGGCCGCCGGTTTTGAAAAGAATAATGTTACCTCTAATGGTTATAGAGTTTTTACAACATACAATAGAAAATTTATTAAAAAGAGCTATATCATAGGTCTCAAACACAATTCCTGGAGGGCCGCAGCTCTGCAGTTTCGCTCCAACCCTGAGATCGATCAAGGTGTTAAAGACTACTAGAGCCTATTAAGCAGGTGTGAGTTGGAGGTGGTTGGAGATAAACTATGCAGAGCTGCGGCCCTCTAGGAATTGAGTTTGAGACCACTGAGCTATATGATTAGGCTTCTTGGTATTGGTTGGGGCCCCCTAATTCCCCGGGGCCCCTAAGCAGCTGCTTACCTTGCTGATTGGTTAAGTTTGCTTCTGCTTAAAACAATGCTAATACTAATAAAACACTGATCAATATTGAGTCGACAGTTTCCATTCATTCCTTTTGTTTTCAGCTTGGTCCATTTATTAATCTGGGTTCGCCACAGCAAAATGAACCACCAACTTCTCCAGCATGTTTGACCCCGCAGATGCTCTTCCAGCTGCAACCCATCACAGGGAAAATAGAGTTTCCAATTAATTCAAAATTTAATCAGATTTCAGTGACACTTTTTAATTAATCGTATCAATCTTAAATTTACTTTTGTTTTCTACTGCGTGAAGTTCATAAGTAAAGACAGATCCTAATTAAACAGTTTTTTTTAATGAACATTACCAAAACAATCTGAAATGAAGGGGAAAAAAATGGCAGATATAGGTTGTCAAGTTCACATTTTATTGAACTGATTTAATACATTTTCAGGTGGACAAGGTCAGGAATTCTCTTACAGTCTGAAACAACCCGCTGTGTCCCACCTTTGAAACGAGAGATGACAGTGTTATGAGATTCTTGGCTTATTATCCATCATCAACATCTCTCTTTAGTGGTGTCAGAGGCACAGTCTCTTCAAAAGGGAAAGAAAACGGGTGTTGGTGACACACATCACCAAATATCTCCCCACCCAACCCAAAATATAATAACAATAATAATAATGAGTTTGATGTGTGAATGCATATTCTCTTTTCCGAGCAACACTTCTTAGTGTCAATCCCAAATCTGCAGGCTTCAGTTTGGAGGTTGAATGCTTGAATAAGCATCTGAAGTAAAGTGCTGCTGAATTTCTCTTTTAGGTAACCATGACTTGCGTTTGGTTTTCATCAGACTTTGTTTATAAAAAGGGACTAAAATGAACAGAAGCTCACGCGTCAGAATATCCAAGCGAGTTTGATAACAAGTAAGCCCCTTAAAATAAATAATAATTAAACATAAGATGCCATCTGCAGACCCAAATCCTTGAAAACAAACATTCGTCGATGGTTATTTTGAGAATGGCTCACTCTGTTTTTTTTAATTAATTTTTAATATACAACAAAAGGAATCACCTCCCAGGATTCGACAATAATAATCGTGATGCGAAAATGAGAGATGATCAGTTTTCAGATCTCAAATAATGACATCTTAAAACGTGCAAATATGTTGCAGCAGGCTTCAAGAATCAACCAGCCAATCAGAATCCATCATGATGCTGTGAGAATTTGCATAAAATCGCAAGCAATGTTATTTTAAAGCTGCATTCTGGATCTTTCCCTAAAACAAAAACCAAAAAATAAAATAAATATATGAGGAGGACACCATAAGTGTTCAGCAACTCTCATAAAGTGTCATCATGTCGCTCAGAGAAACGTATTTTATTCCAGACTGTCAACATAGAATCGAAAGCATATTCGCTTTTATCACTTATTTTGGCAAAACTTCCTACCACACAGGTTTTGTAAACATAACGTTTCCCTTAAGAAGTTTATCACGAATGATACCATGAAATAAAGACTTTTCTGTATATTTGATCAGTTTT